AGAGGTTCGATGTCGAGCACGCGAAGTGCCTGCGAGATGTCTTGTGACCAAAGGATCGTGCGGCGGGCATGTTTCATGAATTTGAGGGCTTCTTGTAGAACTTGGGAAATGCGGTATTCGACGTCTCGACAGAGCGCTTGGTTGACGTCCTTGTTCAAATTGAGGATGCCCACTGACTCGGCGACGTCCCTGACCGTGTCTTGCCCCCAGAGAGTCATTTTGCGGCTGTTGGGCTGGTTGGCGATTGAGATGGCAAGTGATGGGCAGAGATTGTGAGGAACGAGGAACGAGGAGAGAGAAATATTGTGATAATCAGGCAGCGGTCCCGACCACTAAGCATTCGAGAAGCACGAGCGGGAGCATGAAGGGAATTTCTCGTCCTGCGCGTTCTAAAAGAAACATGTCTTCTTGACCACTGCAGGTTTCCGTTGATCGCAGTCGCATCAGTGGGGTAAGCAGTGTGTACGGTGCCGTTACCCTGCGAGGGCTAGTGGACCAGTTACCGGTAGCAGCCTCGCAGCTTGTCTCGGTGGTGATCGCCAGCAGTTTGGGACAACGAATACAACTACTAGGTACTGAGTACACATGTACTCCGTACTGCAATCTCTCTACCAAACAAGACAGCTCGGCCTTGCTCTCTACCCTTTTCTCAATCGGCATCATCTCACCTCTCACACCTCATCCGAGATTCGCCATACCAATCTCGCACCACTGACCTTCTTCTCCCGGAGCATTTTCAACGCTTTCTCCGCTCTCTGTAGCATCGTTTTCCCCTCGACAATCACCTGCTCATTCGGCTCGATAATGCCTTGGGCAAGACACTCGGGCATGATTTCGCTTTGCAAATGTTCCGCAAGGAATTTGTTGTCCAAGTAAAAGTGCGTTCGGACACCTACCACATGGACACCTTCTGGCCATTGGGTCGCTTTCTCAACGTCCATTTCATAAATGGGTTGTACTCCTTCCGCGGCGTCTTTGACGATAATTGGAAGGAGGATGGCGACTTTTGTGCTGGATTTGGACTTGACAATTCGGGATATCGGCACCACGCTGCCGTTGAGGCTGCCGATGCAGTCGAGGATAAAATGAAGTCCCCCGTTCGAGTCGGTGAAAGCGACAATCTCCTTTTCAACGCCTGGGTCTCGATAGTCGAAACACTTTGTCGCGCCGTAGCCATACAATTTCTTATGATGTGTCTTGCTGGCAGTGGCGATGATGTTGGTATACCCATACCACTTCAAGATTTGCAATGCGTACTGTCCAACGCTAGAACTTCCCCCCCAAATCAATATCCATCCACCCCTCTCCTGTGGTATATATCCTTCTGGCTTCGGCCAGGGTAACTCGAAGGCAAAATCTTTTGTAAAAGTGTGCCATGCCGTGACGAAATTGTTTGGCACCGTAACCGCCTGTTGCATAGTGACATTGTGAGGGATCCTGCCAAAAAGGAACTCGGGCGCAACTACATATTCTTGGTGTGCTTTTTCGGCCGCGCCACGCCACGTGAAGCCAAAGACTTTGTCGCCAACTTTATATTTGCTGACGTCTGGTCCAATCTCCACAACAGTACCGGCGATGCCGTCGCCTAGGATCTGTGGGTGTGTAACGAGAAGGCCGCCATCGGCTTGGTGTAAGTCGAGCGGCGTCGAAGCGGTCCATTCACACCGAACTCGGATCTGGTTTGCCGTTGGTGTCGGAGTGGGGATTTGATGCACCTCTAAAGGGAGGCCTGGACCAACCGTCACAACAGCAGGATGCGTGCTCATGATAGATGTCGGTACACTAATTGATGTTGTCTTTCAGGTTGTGGACAGATGTTGTTTCAATAGATGTGGGCGTTGAATTATTCTGGGGAACGGAAAGCGTCGACGCTCGCTGCACCATGGCTTTATATATCCAAAATGCCATATCCCCAAGGACCCGACATGCTCTCCAATGCTTTTTCTGCTCACACGGCTTCCATATGTCGATCACGCTCCAATCATACCACTGATCGTACGCCTTGCATCATCCCCATTACTAAGGGGCGGAGAGATACGGTGGATCATAGAACCCCAAATTTCGTCCGTTCGTGGCTGAAGTGGGTTGAGCCTCAATCACGAATCCAGGGATAGTTTGTCTTCCGTCTTCCCGTAAATCTTGTGGCACCAAGTGAGACGACTTTTCTGTTGGAACGTTCTAGGAATGGCCCAGCAAAGATCAATCGCTGCAAAAGACTCCAAGGGCCATGTCATAGCCGTTTTGGGCCGAACCTGTTGACTAGATCGGGGTCGCCCCGAAGTGCAGTACCGAGTATTCGATGGACCTCTAGAAAACCAAAGCTGCATGGACTGCACTCTAATCATAAAGGCTTCCTTCGGGCTCAAAGTGCGGGATGTCCGAGGCCATCCTCATATGGGTGTCGCCGATTCGGATGAGTTTTCGCAATACCCAATCCCGCTCTTGTCCGGGCTCAAAGACCAGCAAGCAAAGCCTAAGGGCAAAGATGATGAAAAATGGTCCCAGGAAGGATGACGTCAGCATGAATGGCGTAGTCCGACATATCTCCCTTGCGATTTCCCGATTCTCCATGAGATATAGTTCATGTTTCTCGGGGGCGAAGTCCTTCTCGACGTCCCTCAAAATGAGGTTAAGGATGACCATAATTGTCCAATAGCCCACGTGGGTCGACGCGACAAAAACGTTGACGAAAACATATTGTTTGGGGAAGACGAGATCCATGGTGTCCATGGTTGAGGTCTCGAGACCTTGTTTTTTGAGTACAGCTCGGAATCTCAGATTGATGGATTTGAGATTGGCTCTATGCAATCGTGTCCGCGCGAGAAGGGCTTCCACATGAGCGGCGTATTGGTCAGCTGGCAAGTTCCGCCGAGCCTTGCCCAGATCCCTGGTATCCCGTAAAGTTGCTGGGATGAAGACATGCTCCAAATAGAACTCTTCGGCCAGGTCGAAAATTTCCATCCGGTCGTCGGGAATGCCAGAGGTTCGGAGGTCTTCGTGAATCTTCTTCGACATTTCTATCCATTGGGGTTCGGCTAGGAAGCAGGCTTCATCTTTCATGAAGGCATCGATGACGATGGTATGGCGGTAAGCAAGATAGACGTCTCGATCCAACCCAGATAGATGGCGAGCGGGTCCACGAATGCGCATCAGTGTCCCTGCACCACCAGCATGGCGTACCCAGGACTGATTCGAGTCGGAGGCAAACATCTCATAAAATGACAACAGAATCGTGGCGGAGAGCGTCTCGGTTGACATGCCCTTCACGTCATCGGTCAGTGACTGATTGAGCAGGCGCAGCGCGTTGCCATAGTATTGTCGTGATTCTCGCACTAACATTTCCGACTGCTGCATTCGACCTAGATGGACCAAAGAGACTGCTCGAATCGAGGTGTCGAGGAGTTTGGAACCGAATAGAGCAGGCAGTTGCGACAGCCAATTTTGGTGACTTCGCATCTGACGAGGAAGCAGCAGTGGGCCATGACCGCCTAATGAGGAACAAAAGGTGCCGAGAAGTTGTTCTTGAACCAGCTGGGGGGAGTAGACGGTGTCGTTGAGTGTCATTTCAAAAGCGATGTCCTGGTTGATCGAGTCGTTATTGAGAAGCCCGCCCCATCCAGATGTTGGCATTGATGACCCCAAGAGGTCGGCATCGGGATATATCTGGTTCTCGAGCATGCCCCAAAAGGGATTTCGAGCCGGTAGCATTTGGTCGGCTCTATAACGACGCATGTCAACGTCGGGAGTGTTGAAACGCGTGACTAGCTCTATGGATTCTTCAGGTGACGACTCTGTTGATTGACTGTTAAGGCTTGCAGAGGGCGATGCGCTCTCAGATTCGGTCCTCGCTTCGGAACCATCCCTGAGGCCAAATCGCTTTCGGAGTTTGGAGCCTTCATCGTATATCCTCAGATCCGAATCGTATCCTGGGCAAGGACGATTGCCTCTGGCGCAATTATTGCAGGTCGGGCGTGTCAAGTCACATCTGACTCTCCGCTTGACGCATATGCGACAACCTTTGCTCCTTGGGATGCCGACCATGGCTAATGTAATTCAGCGGGCATGGAGAGATCGCAGACAGATGACAAGAGAAGGCGGGATCTCCCTAGTGGCAGCGAAAGAGATATCTATATAACCATTCAAATTTCAGATAAGGGTCTGCCAATGCCAGCAACATCTTTCACCCTCACCGGCGACGATGGGATGTAGGGAGGAGGAGAAATGAAAATGGTTGATGCCTAGGGTTTAATGGTCGTCCCAGAGGTTCGTTACATTGAGGGTAAGCGATTCGCGAAAGCGATGGTACTGCCGCGGGATACGGCTCCACGGCCAAAGGGGTGTCAAGGGGGGACGTTCAGCTATGACGACAAGCCTGGCACCGAGTGCGACAGGGTTCTTGGGAGTTTGAGGGGGGGCCTAGGGACCAAGGGAGCCAGTAAGAAGTAGTGTCGGATAGGTGGTACAGGTGCCCACTGTGGCTTAGCCTTAACTAGAGCAGCCTGCAAGTAGCAAGTATAACAAGGAAATGTAATTAGCCGTCCAGGTACTCGGTACTCCAGGGGAATACGCCCTACACGGACAATGCCGCCTGCGCAGCCACAAATTGAAGACTCTCTAGCCCCATCTCAACGCACTTCCAGGCGAGCAGTGCCATGTTCGTGGGCACCACCTCTCCGTATATGTCCCAGATGCGTATACGATGCAGCAAGAAACTGACTGAACATTTCGTTTTCCGTTCTTTTGGTATTCGAATCACTTCTCCTGGTGCTGGATCCCTCTGGGGGTGACTCAGCAAAGGCCACCCACGCCCCGATCATTCCAATAATCCAAGGCCACATACTGCGTTGGTGGCAACCCAAGTTCAAGGCATATGATGGTATTAATGGCACACCGGAACTACTCCAGGTCTGCTCCAAACCACCCATTTTATCCACATCGACTTTCGTGCCTGCCCAGAGAGCAAAAGTTCAGATGTCCTCATCACCTTGTACTTGATTCGCTCAGCCTTCCAGCTCATTCATTGGTACATCTTCATCATCAGGACCAACAATAGCCTCTGCAACCTTCCATACCTGGATCAGGTTGTCATCCGCAGCGCTACAGACTGTCCAGGGGATGTTCTTGTTCCACGAGAAGTCGCTGATCCGGTTGGTATGTCCTCCGTGCATGAAAAGAAGCTCCGGGGGCCCGTCTTCGCTGTCTTCGGGCGTCTGCTCCTCTCCAACCTTGGCCAAATCCCAAAATATGATTCTTCGATCGTAACTGCTTGATCCGAGCACCGATTCTTCGAACGGATGCCATTCTAATGTCGTCACACTGTCATTGTGCCCTTCGAGAACATGCAACTTATCGTTGAGATTCCGCAGGTCCCAGATAGCGATGGTCTTGTCGGCACTTCCAGTCGCCACCACAGTCTCCACTGAAAGATTGAACGCAATGGCATTAATCGCATCCCTATGCTGATTCTCGCCCGTAGCAGCAGCTCGCGTAGTATCAGCCTCTCTCAGATCGAGAAGTTGCATGGTTAGATCGTCCGATACCGTTCCCACCAGATGTGGAAGAATCGGGTGGAACTGTACGTCGTTCACGATCCCGGAATGGTGGGTGTATCTGCGAGACTCGTTGAGCAGTGAATTTGTCTTCGATGCCTGCGTGATGTCCCATAGTCGGACTGTATAGTCTTCGCTAGCCGTGGCCAACCGACCCAACTGATGAGGATCCCAGCTGAGGCCATAGCCCTCCTTGGTGTGTCCACTAAGCTCTATCGTGGGGGGAACTTTTGATAATGATGCGCTGGAATATTTCGACCTGTCCCAAATCATGACTCGTCCACTAGTGCACATGGTCGCGATGATATTCGGATTCTGTGGTTGGTATCGCGCCTTATTGACCTCGCCGGGGTGGTAAATTTTCTGGTTGATATGGAATTTGACTTCAACTTGGTTTTGCCTCGATGGACCTCCACCATAGCCACCGATTTCTCCAGTCTCTTCATTATAGTCTTTCACGTCTGGTTTCTTGGGATTGGGTAACTGGACACTGGCAACTTCTAGGAAGTTCGGTTGACCTTCAGCTGTATGCGTGCCGATCAACAGACGGTGTTTCGAGTAGTTGGTGTCAGGTACCCTGGGCGCCTTAGCTAGCTGACAATAGTGGACAAGGGTGGCGGGTTACTTACGCTGCGACATCTGGAAACCATTGCGTTGTAAGAGTAGGCCAATCCAGGGCCGTACTGAGGATCATGTCATAGAGAAAAGGAGCGTTCTTCTTCCACGTCTTGTATTCTTCATTGATAATTTTCTGCTCAGTCTCTGCGTCTTCCTTGTTCAACTCTTGGTCGCTCACTGTAGTTTCGCGGTGGTTAGCACATGAACATGCGCCTGCAACAAGAGCGCCTTACTATTATCGTCGTCATCTGCCATTTTGTCTGTTCTGGGGTAAGGCACGAGAGACTTGGGGAAGGGGAGAGAGATGATCCAAACGTAAGGAGACTGAGCAGGCGGGTGCGACGCATACAAGTCAATGAATGCTCTTCAGTCCTGGTGAAAGCTGTGGATGTAAAAGACGCGCCCATTCCAGGCCTCAGGACCGCACTTTGACTAGACGCGTTAAGTGACCGCTCATTATCCCAAAAGAGGTCTAGCGCGCCAAGACCTCAAAAAGCGCCGGACCGATCTTGTTGCCGCCAGGCCTTCGACATCTAAGCCCGCCTCGACTCATCATCAATCTCGCATAAACATCACTCGTTCTCAAATACCGAGTACAGTTCATCTCAGCGGGACATCTGTCTTCTTTCCTGCACATCTAAACTAGCGCTTCCTGCATGTAATATCCAGGAAGTGGCCGCTTGACATATTCTCTCTCTTTTTCGCCGACATCGACAAACGTCGTTTGGCTCTGCGCCCACCGCCACCATGGGTGTTCCCAAATTCTTCCGATGGCTCAGTGAGAGATATCCTGCAATATCGCAGCTAATTGCCGAGAATCGCATTCCCGAGTTCGACTGTCTTTACCTTGACATGAACGGCATCATTCACAACTGCACACACAAGGACTCGGACTCTCCCTCTTTCCGGATGACCGAGGACAAGATGTTCATTGCCATCTTCAACTACATAGAACACCTTTTCGGCAAGATTAAACCCAAAAAGCTATTTTTCATGGCGGTCGATGGGGTGGCACCCCGCGCCAAGATGAACCAGCAGCGCTCACGCCGCTTTCGCACCGCCCTGGACGCGGAGAAGGCTCGTGAGAAGGCCATTAAAGAAGGGGTGGAATTGCCCAAAGAAGATCCGTTTGACAGCAATTGTATTACCCCGGGTACGGAATTCATGGCAAGGCTTACCAAGCAGCTCAAATATTTCATCAGCAAGAAGGTCTCTGAAGACGTCGATTGGCAAGGCGTTGAGGTCGTGCTCTCTGGTCACGAAGTCCCGGGCGAAGGAGAACACAAAATTATGGAATACATTCGACAAGCCAAAGCGCAGCCTGGTTACGACCCCAATGTGCGCCACTGTCTGTACGGATTGGATGCCGATTTGATCATGTTGGGTCTGCTCAGCCACGACCCTCATTTCTGCTTGCTTCGAGAGGAGGTTACTTTTGGGAGACAGTCACAGAAGAAATCCAAAGAATTGGAGCACCAGAACTTCTACCTCATGCATCTGTGCATTGTAAGAGAATACTTGGAGCTGGAATTCCAAGATTTGAAGCAAGAGGGCGCCCTTGAGTTTGATTATGATATGGAACGAATCATTGACGACTTCATCTTAATGGCTTTCTTTGTTGGTAACGATTTCTTACCTAACCTCCCCAATCTGCATATCAACGAAGGGGCGCTGGCGCTCATGTTCCAAAAATACAAGCAGATTCTCCCACGTTTAGGGGGATACATCAACGAGCATGGTGTGATCAATCTCCAACGACTGGACGTCCTTCTGAACGAGCTGGCCGAGGTGGAGGATCGCTTCTTTGAGGCGGAATATGCTGGAGCCAAATGGATTGACGCGAAGCGGAATGGCCAAAGCGCAGACGAGCCACTGACGACTTCCCGTGGCCCTGTCAGGGTCTCTCCTGAACAAAAGCATCTCTTCAAACAGGTGAAGAAGTATTTTGTGTCACCTGTCAACAAGGACCCCGCGACAAGGCAGCCACTAAGCCTACCTTCCACTCTTCCAGCACGTGACCGCAAATTTGTGCAACAACTTGCGACTGACTTGAACCTGCAGTGGTCTACAAAGGAAGATGAGGATGGCAACCGCTTCCTCCAGTTAGAATTCCCCGTCAAGGGAGAGGAGGCGGAATCGGATGAGGATGATGAAGAGTCTGAATTGGCTATAATGCGGGTCTTAAAACGATACGAGAATGCAAAAGTTGAAGAGAGCACAGATGAACAAGCTCAACAGGACATGCAGAAGAAGTACGACCAAAAGTTCCGCGAGTGGAAAGATCAATACTACAAGGAAAAGTTTGGCTGGGGCCTGGAGAATGAAGAGGGTCTGAGAAAATTGACGGAAAATTACGTGCAGGGTCTACAATGGGTCCTCTATTATTACTATCGTGGCGTTGCCTCGTGGCCTTGGTTTTATCAGTATCATTACGCCCCAATGATCTCGGACGTCAAGAGAGGCCTTGGTGCGGACATGAATTTCCAACTTGGTCAACCATTTCGGCCATTTCAGCAGCTGATGGGTGTCCTCCCGGATCGAAGCAAGAAGATTGTCCCGGCAGTTTACCATGACCTGATGACATCGAAAGAATCACCCATTATCGATTTCTATCCACGAGATTTCGCGCTTGACATGAATGGCAAGAAACAGGAATGGGAAGCTGTCGTTAAGATCCCATTCATAGATGAAAGGCGACTGCTCGATGCTATGGCTCCTAAGGATGCTTTGCTTACCGAAGATGAACACCTTCGCAACGATTTTGGGGTCAGTTTGAAATTCACCTATTCTACAGAGGTCGACTACACATATCCGTCTTCGCTTGTTGGTATCTTTCCGGACTTACCGCATTGTCATTGCATTCAAAATGAATTTGAGCTTCCGACCATGGACGGCTTGGAGCCGTATGTGGGTCTGGTGGACGGCGTCAAACTTGGAGTTGCAGCTTTGGCTGGCTTCCCGAGTTTGAAGACGTTGCCTTTTACCGGCTCGTTGGGATTCCATGGTGTAAACGTCTTCCAGCAAGACAGTCGAAATGAAAGCATGATAATCACCTTGTCGGACACCGAGACGCGAACCAAAGTAGAGTACGCCAAAGTGCTTCTGAACAAGAGAGTGTATGTCGGATATCCGTTCTTGCAGGAAGCGAAGATAGTCAAGGTTTCAGACGAACTTTTCGACTACATCTTAACGGAGAACGGGGAAAATGTGCCTCACAATATCAAGGCGATTGAGCATTCTGGAAATGAAATCGACCAGTTCCGCAAAAAGGCAGATCGGATTGAGAAATTTTACAGCAAGAGACTCGGAATGTTGATCGGCGAGGTTGAGTCTCTGGTTCAAGTTGAGATGCTGAAGGGTCTCAAGAAACTCGACGATGGATCGACAGTCAAGGAATTCGCCGAACTTCCAGGCTTGGAAACCATCCACGCAACACAACTCATAGTTGAGAATGTGGTCAGTGAAGACGTCCGTTTCATTGAGCAAGCAGCTCTACCTATTGAAGAGGAGTTTCCAGACGGTACCAACGCCTTCTTCCTCGGCGATTACGCATATGGACGCCCTGTCAGTGTAATCGGCCATGAGAATGGAAAGGCGAAATGCTTAATCGCACTCTCGAAAGCACGCCAGGTGGAATTTGGGCGTGAAATCGCCCGTCAAGCAGAGAGACTGTCACCATATACGCCGTCGTACCAGGTTGCCCAGAGCCTTAACCTGAACCCGTTGGCATTGGCAAAGATCACCTCATCCTTTTCCATCATAGTGGACGATACCAGGGTGAACCTAGGTCTCAATCTCAAGTTTGAAGCGAAAAAGCTCAAAGTCCTGGGCTATTCGCGCAAAGGGCCGAGCGGATGGGAATTCAGCCGAGCAGCTATCCAACTGATCCAGCAATACATGATTAAATTTCCGCAGTTCATTGCCGGCATTCACAATAATCCGCAAGGTGACATGTTACCCGCGACAGCATACTTTCCTGGCGACGAAAAACAGGCCAAGACAAAAGTCAAAGAGATCCAAGCATGGTTGAAGGGGATTGAATCAAAGAGCTTTGAAAGAGTACCCCTCGAAGCCGAGCAGTTGGACTCGGAGATTGTTAAGCGCATCGAGCAAGCTGCCGACGAAGCGCTTCGCTCTGAGCCACCCCCGCACAACAAGACTATCGGGGGCGTCCCTCGTAACGGCCTTTTGAAGCCCTCGGATGCGCAATGGCGTCTAGGAAATCAAAAGTTCAGTCTGGGGGATAGGGTGATTTACGTGGCCGACTCAGGCAAAGTCCCGATTGCCTCCAAAGGCACTGTTGTTGGTCTGACCCAAACCACGAGGGAAACCTGGCTGGATGTTGTCTTCGATGTCTCCTTTATGAGTGGGACATCGTTGGGAGATCGCTGCTCACCATTCCGAGGATCGACCGTGCCGACATGGTCTGTTTTGAATCTCAGCAATCGACAAGTACTTGCTTCGTCGAAGGCAAGCGCAAACCGACAAACCAATGGCACGGCACATTCTCCTCTGACAGTTCTGGGTTATGGCCAACCCGGAATCGGCGGCTCAGGTCAATTACGCCCAGCCGCCACGCCACCAGCGTTGAGAGGAACATGGCGTGGAGCTGTATCAGGACATCAATCCAGTGGGCGCGGACACTCGAACGGGACGTTGGGTCGTGACCAAATGACCGGGACCTCAATGCCAATCCGGAACATGTCGGGTTCTCCTGCCAACACTAATCGTGGCAATGCGGCAAATGGTCAGTATGGTAGAGGTGGTCGTGCATCGATGGGCCATGTAAGTGCTCGAGGAGGATACACCATTGTTGATCGAGGCGATGCTCAAGCTGGTGTTGTCCAGAACAATCCTCATTTCCGGCCCAAATCGCAGAACAATGTTCCTCCACCTCCCAGCTTAAATCATCCTTCCACCCCACGAGGCCGTGGTCGCGGACGAGGAGGTACGTCCCGAGGCGGACGAGGTGCTACGCCACGGGGAGGATCATGAGTTGATAACACGTACCGGCCCGCACGCCTGTATGATTAGCGAAGGTCTCTCGGTCTTGGACAGATGTGTGTTTCTTCCCCAAGGGCATGTGGTGACCCAAGATGGTCTGCGAGAGATATTAGTGAGTAAAGGGTTTCGGTCACACGGAGGATGCCGTTGTTATCGCTCCAGTTGAATGCGGTAGACAGGATGGAGTCCTGGACGCCTGGGTGTTTCGAGCGAGGCTAGCAATCCTTGCAAGCTCGTTATGCAATGCAGGGCCCCGCAGTTCGCGCATCTGGCACTCCTCCAGTCAATCAAACAACTGCCACATGCTCGATTGGAGATGCGTCCAGAATACGAGGTCGCGGAAACGATCGCCATGAGAAGCGCGGCACGCCCGAAGAAACGCCATAGATGCGAGTTTTCTGGACGATGACACCGATTTCACCCAACTTTCCTCGATCACAAATTCCCCCGGCGCTGCGTTACCTGTTTGTCTATCTCTCTACCAGCCTCTCTTTCGCCCATGGATCATTGCTAGAGTCCGGCGCTTGCGCAATAGAAGATGCACGTCATCTGAAGCCCCATTCGCCTTACTAACTCGGGAGCGCAGGTTCCCTTTTCCAACCTCCACGCACCGGAAGGGCCTGGAAGAGCCCCGCCTCTGTCCAAATGCGTGTGGCACTTCCCTCGCCAAAGGTTCACACTCACCCGGGCTTTTAGACTCAGGCTGCATATCCCCCGTTCCCAAGACATTGCGCTCCCCTCTTTTGCTGGCTCCTGTTCAGCTGATTCGACACAACCTTTGGTGTTCCTGACTGCCTCTCCACGCCAGGCTCTGGAACCACGTCAGATCTGCTCGTCAAACCCCTCAACCTGTACCTTACAACCCCCACGCTATCGAGCATGAGCGTCAGACACGTTGCTCTACCTGCCGGGTCATGTTTCGAACAGCAAGTCGATGCCACCATCCCCACAATCTCAATTTACGTGGGAATGCTGCACTGCTCCAGCCAAACCCTTTATCGAAGGACTTTTACTGCCTTCTTGATCGAGATAAAACACATGACCCAGATCCAACATCGATAAACCCCGTTGAACTATTCGATTCACGTTGTGACAGACTGCAATGGGAGTTCACCCTTCCTGCTTCATTGGGGGACGGAGAAGCGATCCCACCGCATGAACCATGCTGTGTGACTCTACTATCAGCTCCCAAGACTCACAGAAAGCCATGATTCAGATCCCCAAATCTATTGACATTGCACACCCTCCTTTTCTCCCGCATTTGTTATCTCCTGAGGCATAGGCCAGCACTGGCTCCGCAACAAGCTCTTACCAATCAGGTTGATGCAGTGGTTCGGGCCAGGATCACGCTTCCTCGTAGTCACAGACACTTCTATTTCTCTCATCATCTGACTTTTGTGGATATCCCCATTTTCCCTTTCCTGTCATTCATTCCATCGGGCCTTTTCGTCCAACCCTCAAATATTCTTTTCGCAGACGAGTCAGAATGGAGGAGATATTTCGTCCTACTTTCTATCAACCCTCATCGGTTGTCAAGTGAAGCCCCATCCTCTCGACCGGCTCTGGCCAAGACGACCCCGGATCAGAACCCGAGTCGACTCTCTTTTTTGTTCTTCCCCAAGTCCAAGAAGGGGTATTGAATCCTGAGAAAGCCTCCGGAAGAAGGCTCCGCCACTTAGCTAGAGGTTCCACTGGCCCAGACAGGAGACGACACACTCCAGTCAACCAGCCTGAGCCAGCGTCAGGCTGTTGCTGCTCGAGCCTGGATAGCACGACCTGTAGCATCATTCTCCCTTTCCTTTTTAAATGAAAAGCCACGCGCTGCTAGAGTCAAGATAGCGGCAGTCAACATGGCGGACTCGATGAACCTCATCTCAGCGCAGATATCATTCCTAGTGAGTAGTCTTCCCCGGCTTTTGTTGTCCTAATTATGTTATATATATTATTATATATAGATCCAGCCAGCCGCGTCAGGGCTTTCTTTCCCCTTCCCTCCTTAGTTTGATATATACTTGAAGCATCATCATCCACACGTTCTGACGTTTTCACCCCCCCTAACCTCCCCCACAGGAAGCACATCTCGCTCTGATCCACATCCCCATTGAATTATACTCGTTATCCCTTCAGCCGATTCTACGTCTCCTATTCGGGGAAGATCACGACGAGGACGCCGCCAAGATCTCTTGGACAAACCGCCACGACTTCCTCAATGTCTCCATCACCACCATCGAATGCTCTATCATATGCTCGAGATACCTGGCGGACCGGTTCGTGCGCCCGGTCGCCGAGGTGTTGAACAGACTCTACGCCAGCAACAACAACAGCAGCAACAAAAGGGGAGGAGGAAAGACAAAAGGGGAAATCCAGATCGGGGCCGAAGACTATATAGTTATTCAAGTCGATGGACAGGGCCTCGATGCTGGTCAAAGAGTATTGGAATTGACGTCGCCATTAGCTATGGCTGGAATGTAAGGCTCCCTGTCGATCCCATGTTGAACCAAGATCTGACTCCACGATCATCAGAAGCATTTTCTTCATCACGACCTATTTTTCCGACTACATTCTTGTTCCATTCCGGTCGCGAGGCACCGTCACCAGGGCCCTTCAACAGCGCGGGTTCGTCTTCTCCAAGACGGCCGACGCATTCGTGTCGCAGCTTTCACCGTCGTCTCCTACTCTGCCCCAAGGCAGTAGTAGTGGACGGCCATCCGCGACATCTTCACCCTTCTACGATAACTCTGCGCCGACTACCCCGCCAGCCAAGGACATCCCTGAGCTCCAGCTCCGGACATTCAAGAAGCTCAGGCTGAACAACATCAGCCCTCTCGTTGACGGTAGTATCCGTCTGGCAAATTGCGCGGGCAGCCGCGAGTACGACAAGGCCAGTGAAGAGCGACTCAAGAACGACCTCCTTCAAGTCCTGCTCGCTACGGCAGCGCCGACGAGCAGTGCCTCCTCGAGACCCCAGGCCCCGATATTACCAGCTGGGCTCGGCATGGGCACACCAACGTCAAAAGGGCCACCACTGCCACCACCGCCGACGGTGACATCCGAACTGGACTTTGGGGCAAAGTTCCTCTCTCTGACCATCACCTCCGGGGAGCCCATCTCGGTGCTCCTGGAGCACCGCCTGCTCGACCGCCTAGGCGGGTCCCTGCTGGGCGCCAAATCCGACGACGACGCCCTGATCCCCATCACGCTGGACCTGCGCGAGCTGCCGCTCGACGCCACGGGGATCGTGTGCGGCGTGGCCGGGCGCCTGGCACAAGGCAGCACCGATCTTGTCCCCGTGGAATCTGAATCTGACGATGTCTTCGCTTTGGGCCATGGCACGACGAAAGTGCCCGGTGCGACGACAACAGTTGAGCCGCGCGAGAACAACGACGAACCCGAACCCGAACCCGTCGAGATCTCCTTCTTGAGCACCGCGCGAACAGGCACCGTCATTGTCCGCGCCGCGCAGCTCGAGAAGGCGCTTGAGGCGCTCGAGTACGGGATGAAGAGGGTCGGAGATGCGGGCGGATCTTGAGAGCCAGTGCGAGTGCGGCGGTGGGCGGTGGCAGGATAACCCGTTACTATTACCACAAGGTGAGCGAGTCCATAATCACGGCTGACAGCGGAGATTCGGACGAAGGATGACGATAAGATCCAGTATGGAGCAGAGGGAAGAAAACGAGAGAGAAGGGGGAAATAACCCCGGGTTTGCATTTGTTGCATCGATCGCTACGGCGACTGCGTTGTCTGCATTATCAAGGAGAGACTTTCAATAACTAGGAGGAAGAAAGAAAGAAAGGGAACCCCACAACCATGGGCCGGAAATTCGGACATGAAGATGGATTGCTTGTGTGAGTGGGTGAGTAAGTGACGGATTGGGCTCTTTGATAAAGAGGGAAATGTCGTCTTCGCACACACTCTCTGTCTATCGCTGATCTCGCTGGTATTGACGATATTGATGGTCGAGATGGTCTTGACGATGATGTTGTTGGGCTAAAAAGTCTTGCGACGAAGAGGAAAATGGGAAACAAAAATAAATGCATTTATCTTGGTACCTACTTATATACATGGCTGTGGTACCATGGATGTAGACTGGATGTCCACCGCAGTCACCCAGCTCCGTATATCTTGACCACGCCATCAACGCCCCCGCCCGCCCAGAGACTCTGTCGCGCTTGGGCCTGGCTCCCTTCTCTCCACTTGACGACGCTGACCACTCTGTCAGTTTCACTGACCCGGACCCTCCCAACGCTCTTTCCCGAGAGGACATCCCAAGCGCGCACGTTGCCATCGCTCTCGCTCCCACTCAGGACCAAGCCCTCGTTCGCTCCGAGACAACTCTTCAGCCTCAGGCTCTCGTTCTTGTATCCTTCTCCTCTAGCGTCTTCGGGAGGAAAGGCCCTCAGACACGTTCCGTCGCCTCGATCCATCAATCGGATCCTCCCGTCGAGACACCCCACAAGCACAGTTTTTGCGTCTCTCGAGACGTCCAGACTGGTCACGCTTCCCGGCATCACATCCACGGTCACTTTGCCCGTGCGGATATCGTAACCCCGTACCCTGCCGTCTATACTCCCTGTGACTAGCTCGTATCCGTTCTCGGGCACCACAAGACTCGAGATCCCGTCTTTTGCCTCTTCGAGAATCATGAGTGGCCGCGCATCCCGGCTCTTGACATCCCATAGCCTCACGCTCGTATCGTCACTCCCGCTCGCTAGCACGCCGTCCCCGTCGCCCGCGAATGCTACACATGTAATCCGACTGGTATGTCCCTGGGTTGTATTGTTCCCGAATCTCCTCAGCGTGCCCTCCGCGGCCTGGACATCCCAGAGAAACACGGCGCGGTCGCCGCCGACGGATGCAAAGGTCTGGTTGTCCTGTGCGCAAGCGATGTCGAGAATGGGATAGCCGTGGGCGGAGTACTTCTGGATCGGGACGGAGGAAGGGTTCTCAGCATTGGATGGCTCGGTGCGAGTCAGGTGGACTTGGCGGTCTGAGCTGCCGGTGAGGATGTAGGTACCGCCGAGAGAGGAGAAGGTGATGGCGTTGATGGGCCCTGTGTGCGAGGAGATGTTGTTCACCAGGGCGGAGGGCAGTTTGGGTGGTACAGGGCTCATGATGGTGGCTCTAAGTTATGGCAAGCATGGCATTCTTTGTGCGTTGATGGTATGAGAGAGTCACCGCAAGGGAGAGAAGGATCGGGCCGACCTTACCGTCAACGAGGGCATCATCTACATTACAGTATGTAGAGTTCGACTTGATGTCGAGTGCTCGAGTGCAGCATAATTGACCACCAGTCCTCTGCTAGATACAGTCAGTCTGCACCTTCAGCGACGGGAAGGCACCAGGATGCTGTGCGTTGTTCCAATTGCGTCACTAATTGGCTTGGCACTTGACTCTTGGCATTTCTACTTGGCATTTCTACTTGGTAGGCGCCAGCAGCACCAGTGGCTCTTGGCGGCCACCTAAACGGCCTAGTGCGTAGTGTTAACGTCGGACAAAACAAAAAGAGTTCCCAGCCTTGGCATCAACCGCCTGCTCTCCCAGACTATTTAAAGCCCGTCCCTCTCCCTTCATCTTCTCTTTTCTTCTCCTTTTCCTTTCCTCAGCTCTCTTTGCCAACTGGCTTAGATCAAGTGTAGTATCTGTTCTTTTCAGTTTAATCTCTGAAATGACACCACGCGTGTCTGACTTTGATTAAATTTATTTTTGCACGCCGCAGGAGACTGTTCTCGTGCTTGCACAGAGAGTCTCCTTGCACCGTGTCCGAGGCCTCCACACTGCCGCCTTGTGACGCGAAAGCACACACGTTTTCCCACTTTTCATCACTGCTTTTTATGCCTTGTGCAAAGCTTTGGAGAAGAGCGCGGTCAATCTCACACATGTCAGCCTGAGTGACTTGGATCTGTCTCGGCAGGCTGTCGACTCACCTGTCGTTTTTCACTGCTCCTTCAACCCGCCAGTGTGACTGCTGCCTGCGATGAAGAAGTTGGCTGCATCTCTGCCTGCCAGTGGCGTTCATACTTCTCCTTCAGCCAAACGTGGTCGTCATGGCTCGCAATTTCACAACCCGCTGGTGAAGCAAGAACTCGGCATCCCCTACAGAGATGAAGCAAGTATGTTGGTTGACCTGTACGCCGGAGGACTCTACTGTGCTATGGGAGAAATGAAAGCACGACATAATCTTCGCTTAGTCTTTCATGGAGGGCTGGATAGAGACGTCCATCACTGGGGCAATAGACAGGCAAATTCAAGTACCTGTCGGTCGCTATTCTGTCGGTATGTGAACGCATCTGGACTTCTGTGATGAGGGATGCTCGGTATTGCAAACTTATGCGCGGACGGTCGATCTACACCTTTGTCCCAGACGCCTCGAGAAGCAACTCTGCAGCCTTCTCACCAATTGCGTACGCCGGCATCTGGGTGTGTCCGCCGTTCAGACTCGGCATGATGCTGCAATCCGCCACCATCAACCCCTTGACACCTCTGACTCGTAGCTTCTCGTCCACGACCGCCGTCGCATCGCCGTCCTTCCCCATTCGGCACGTGCCCGCGGGGTGGTGCGCCGTCGCGCTGTACTGCCGCACATACGGCTCCCAATCCTCCCTAGTCGTGACGGGGCCCAGGGCCGCGTACTTGGGACCGGCCAGCCACACGCCTGGGGCAACGATGTCCTTGGTGCCGGAGCCGGATGTCACGATCGAGTGTGCGAAGCGAACGCCTTCGGTCAGCATGAGAAGATCGAGGGGGTCAGACAAGTAGCGAGGGTCGATGACGGGCTTATCGTGCGGGTCTGTCGAGCGGAGGGATACCGTGCCCCTACTTTGCTGGCTGAATAGCAGTGTCATCATCTCGAAGCCGTGCTTCCCCTCCAAGGGGATCGGGTAGCCGTGGACATGGCCCGAATACAACTCCGTGTGCATGTATTCGACGTGGGCTTGCTGGGGCGTGAGGTTGGCAGCGTCTCGTCCAGTCCCAGCCGTGGTGGCCGAACGGTCCCGCCACAGGGCGGACGAGTTCAAGCCGTCATCAAGTCGCGCTAAGGCGAAGACTCCGAACGGGAAGGTGGAAAAGAAGCCGGATCGCGAGGTCTGGTACGTGGACAGCGAATTTGCGGCGCCATTGGTGTGGTGGATGTGTCGGTCGTTGGTGAGATTCGGCTGCGTGACTTCGTATGGGACAAAGACGACCTTGAGAGTGTTAGAGAAGATTTGGCTGAACAAGGAAGAGCACGGCTTGCCAGGTGGTCTTGGAAATTTTTGCCTACGCCGGAAGACTCGACCACACAGTCGATGTTGAACTGAGCGAGCTCCTCTTTCGGCCCGACGCCAGAGCGAAGAAGGATGGTGGGCGAGCAGTACGCGCCTGTCGACTCTCTTAGAGAAACAGCGAATGCAAAGGACTGACGTACCTACCTGCAGACAATATGACTTGCTTGCCAGCTTTCAACATCCTCCTCTTTCCAGAATTGTCGACAACCTCAACGCCCGTTGCCACAACATCGCCTTCGACACGCTCGAGGACAATCTTGTCGACGACAGTGTTCACCACGATATCCACTCGGTCCTCATGGCCTTTCAAGTAGTCGGTACTAAACGTTCTAACGCCGTCATGCACCGTTCGAGGAACATGGCCGCACCCATGTGCTGCTTGGCCCGTGGTGAACAGGTCATCCACCAGTGGCAGGCCCTTGTCCTGTAAGGATTCGAAAACGTGCTTGGAAATAGGTGCCGTATCATGCGGTTCAACGTGCAAGGGCCCATCCATCCCATGGTATCCCTCTGCGGCTTTAAACCAGTCTTTGCCATGGAACGTCTCTGCCTTTTTCATGTACCGGAACATTTCATCTCCACTCCAGCCCTCGAGCTCCCACTCATCGTAGTCGGCCTTGCACCCGCGGATGCACAATGTCCCATTGAAGCCGCTGCTGCCACCCAGGAATTTCCCGCGGTTGAGCTGCAGCACGCGGTTATCGAGATTCGCCTGCGGGACTGTCTCCAGGCCCCAGTCCAGGTCACCACCCATAGCTTGGAAGAGGCCGCCGACCATGGTAATGAGCGGATGGCCTGCCGAGTCCGGGCCAGCTTCGATGATCAGGATCGAGACGTCCGAGGGTCTGGGGAAAGCCTCGGCCAGCCGACCAGCAATTACACACCCTGAGGTGCCGCCTCCGCTGGTCAGGGGAAAACAAAGCGTTAGGTGGTGTAGGAAGATGGAGGAGCGGCGGCCAGAAAAGATCAGACAGACTTACCAGATGATATAGGTGTAGTCTTTATCAGCATTTTCGAGAGTCCGGACAGGAGACATTTTGACCCGATCTCGTTGAGCCGACCTCTAGCCTCTCAAAGGAACCTCGATAGCTCGATAATTCGATCACTTGAGGTGGCCAGTCCAGGGTAAGTCGGGGTTGGCCCGTTTATCAAAGGTCGGCATCAATGTCGACATCATGTTAAGCGAGGACATCACAAGCCGTTATCGAGAGGGTGCCGAGGTCAGACAGACACTAAGCCACCTTTAGAAGAGTATATAAGACTGCCGTTTAGTGCTGTACTTTTTCCAATACGTTAGCTCTCGGAACCCCTCCTCATGTATCAATATGTCAATATCAATGAAGGGCTACTTTGGTTGATCGAGACCTTTCGCCGATCCAAACCCTTTCTAACTAGTTAGTAACTCGCTCAAGCCTGCGTCAGCCTGTGGCCTCGTCTCGGGCCGCTCCGAGAGTCGCAGAAATATTTTGATTGGCACCGAGATTGGCACCCAGACACCAGCCCGCCAGGCACGATTTCTTGTCGCAAAGAGAGAGGGCCGAAAGACACGCGAGAAAGTTGATCGAGGCCTCATCCTGATTCAAACGAACTGAGAAAGTCCAAGTTGAGATAGAGGCCCTTTGCGGTTCCATCATCTGTCGGTGATCTAGGAGGTCACGCATAAGAAGAAGCCTCTACTGACCCAACCAAATCTCAGAACATAGCTCTTGAGGTACAATCAGACAGGAATGTCTCGCCATCTTTTCGATTCCAGCGAATGGACGTTCGTCCCTGTACACCTTGCCTGCTTTCGGTAACTTTCTTTTCCATCTGTTCTCCCGATCTCTCATGTTTATCTTTTCGCGCAATCTCGAAGCAAAGGAGGATCCACACGGACCTGAAACGAAGGCGAGACGAGGAATAAGGTAGCAGGCATTATGCTGGAGCTCGGAGGATGTCAAGTTTGGGTCCGCAAGTCCGCGTTGCATGTATGGATACGGCCTGACACGGCCCGGGGATCTTGTATTATGATGAAGCTATGCTGAGGGTGTGCGCGTCGGTCATGGTCTAAGATATTGCGGAAGGGATTGGGCAGAGAAAGCAATTCGTCGCCGTCAGTTGTATGGGCGTGTCTGTGGTTGCAATTCCGCATAACCTGGGCAGAGCATTTAGGCTCCCGTTAGGTCTCGCGGGCTTTTTAGGCACCACAATGACTATTATATAAGTACCCCTGGCGCCACTAACCACTTAGACAGGTACCTAACTTGATCACTTGAATAGCGGGCTCCGAGCCTAGAGGCGCCCCCCTTCTCCCTCCCCCCCCCCCAAAAAAAAACAAAAAAAAAAACCTCTTGATTTCGAAAATCGTATTCATTCGCCACCGTCTACTAGATGGACGCCCACACAATTCACGAGGTCGATTCTGATCCGCAAGTAACTAACACTCAGTCATTCACTTGCCATCCCTAACCTCCCGAATGTAGGAGACAACAACTTTCATCAATGACCGTAAAGGCAAAGGCTCACTTGGTCCGTACTATCTCCTGCAAACTCGAGCGAGGAGCGAAAACTCATCGAGCAGGTTGAAGGAGAAGACCAACTCCTTTATTCTTAGAGGTTTCAAAATCAAACGTTGGATACGGTTACATCAATGATATTGGTTGTCTCTGTCTCCGGTTGACTGGTGTCACCCATGTCGAGACAAGGTCATAGAGTAGTCAGCCGAAACATTGATCCCAGAAGCCTCCCATCTTTGCAAGTCCGAGACTCCCTAGAAATTTGCTCAGCGTGCAGCGACCAAGATCATCGCCCCCGCAAGAGGAGAGTGGCTGGACACGATCATTCACAATCACGCGAATCAACTCCTCAGAGTGCCCCCGACACTGCATCTTCTCAATATACGCCCTGGCAGCAAACGGAACAGTCCACGCTGCGCTGTAACCGGCTGCGGCACGAGCCTCCACGATGGTCGTGTTGGGCAATAGTAACGTGTCACCGTAAAGACCCGTTGCCGAGAAGATGGTCGTCATATCGTTGTCGTGGCTGAAATCGGCATACAGCTTCCGCCCAAGTGGGAATGTGGCTGGATTGTCGTCCAGAGTATGGTTGGTGGACGTGTGATCTCGGACAGAGGTGTTGGTCAGCCGTGCAATGAGCTCGTTGACGAATCCCACGCCCTGTGTCGGGCCCAGAGGATTGCCGTAAGAAAACCCGTAGTACTTGCCGAGTGTCTGGTAGTAGCTGTAACTGTGCCATTCAGATTCGGTGAAGAGGGAGCAGAACGGTGAAATGGTACCGTCATCATTGGCAACGGTGTTGAAAGGGCAGAGATCCATCATGTCGATTGTCTGGCCAATGCTGAGGTTGGCGCCCGGCAGACCAGCGTTGAGGTGGCCTTGAATTGGCGGGATGAAGATGTTCGCCCAGGCGTCTTGGGCATCATCGGCAATTTTGCTGTCGGTGCCGTTCTCAAATTCGGTGCAGATGGCGTGGTTCAGCGTGCTGTTGAAACCGTCGCCCTCGTACTGCAGGATGATCGGATACGGGTAGCCCGAATCGACGGTCGCGGATTTGTCGGCTTGCCTGGCTGCATGGAATCCCTGGGTCCAATTGAGGGCCGACTCGACGACTCGGTTCTCGCTCGAGGAACGCACGAAAGGTTCGAGGGATTTTGCAAGTAACCGATATCGATTGTAGAACTTGGTGCCCGAGTTGACCATCTCCTCCTGGCCGAAGGTCGTCAACTGGTCCGCGCCGAGGGTGTACGAATAATTGGCAATAAAGCCATATGGACCGGCGAAACTTTTGACTTTGGCCTGGACCTGCTTGATGGTGTCGTTGTATGTCTTGGTCTTTGAGGCCGTCGGGTCTCGGGCCCCATGACGGGACAGGATCTGAACGAATGTGACTTCGCAGCCACTGGGGATGTCTGTTGAGATGTCGGAGGGCACAGTAAAGTAAGGCGAGTACTGGCCCCAGTAGTGAGAGATCTCAGGTTGACATTGAAAACCCGCCGCGGCAGTGTCGCAAGAATCTGAGACTGGAGGGGTCGAACTTCCTGCCAGGATCCCGCTTTTGGTTCTGGATGAGCATGTTCGTGTATATAGATCGGACCGTGTTTGAGGGAATTGACAAGCTTACCTCCAACCTAACAATACAATGACGGTCGCCAAAGGTGCCAGTATCATAATGGCGAAGATGGGACCTCGATGGGCTTTTCGAGATGAGCTTATTCGACCAGAAACATCGTCGCGGAGGAACGGGAGGCCATCATATACTTCAGGCTCTTTCTCAGAGCTGATGCGAGGTAACAAAGCTTCCATGGAGCCGCCAGACCTTGCCTAGGGCATCCCGCTGCCGCATAGCTTGTTTTTTTTTCCCCTGTCCGCGTCTCGCTTTGTGTGCGTCTCTTAGATGGACCTGCGTGATTTAGATGAACGGCAGGGGGGACGATGTGCTCACGGGAAATTGACCTTGCACGATATTCAGGCGCCACGTCTAGGAATGATGCGTGTACAACGGTTGGGAATAGGCGGAGCTAAGAGAGACTATATACCTGGACGAACAACAGTCAATGCGCCACAAGAAAGAACGAGGATTACAGAGAGAGCGAGAGAGAGAAAGAGAGAAGTGCACAGTCAAAATCAAGCGCAATATTCAGTGTTATGGCGAAGGGTTTTTGCCGTCAACAGTTGATCTACAGTTGATCTTTGCGGCCAAAGAGTCCAAAGGTTCCTCAAATGACACTTTTCTAGCGTCATTTGAGCCAATCTTTGAGATAACTTTGGGGTCACCCATCGAACCATGTAGGAGGGAGCGGGGGAGCCCCCGCCCTCCCCAACCTCCCCCGGGCCTTCGCCCACTAGCCTTACATAGGCCTCCCTAGCCTAGCCTGAGGCACGCGGGAATATTGGGTCGGGAAACGCCGATCACGCCTTCAAAGGTTGCTGCACACACCTGACTGTCGCTTCCGGCCACAGCGAACTCTTTCAAATGTCGCTATTCCCGCTTCTAGCATCTGTCTGTCCGTGTAATAATTGATGATACGTACATACGAAAACGCAGAAGCAAGCTGAAAGCCTGCAATCGGTGCCATCGGCGCAAGCAACGATGTGTCGGCTATCCCAGCTGCAACAACTGCCAGGCGGGCAAAGTGGCTTGCGTGAGGGAAGCCTTCTCGAGCTCGGGACGCTTCGCAGGCCTTTCAAAGCAGGAGCTTATAGAGAAGCTGGAGATGATATTTCCTGACAGAGAGGCTTCTGACGACCGCTTATTACCGCAGTCGACTGCGCCGCCAAACCTGGCCGTAGCCCGTCACTCCAACGGCGGTCAAGATTTTGACGCTGCTCCAGAGGGGGCCGTGAGGAAGTCCAAAGACCAGAACGACCGCCTTGTATCCCTTTGTAGTGCCGGCGACACGGATCTTCCTACGCAGCCCACGCCCGACAATGGCGTGGGACGAAGAAGTCATTCCCCAGGCTCTACATGATCTATGCCACTGCCGCCACGGTCATGCGAATCACACGACCATATCCTTCAGCACTTCCGGAGAGATATTATGCAACGGCCTTGCACTTCAAGAGCACTTGGGAAGGTGAGGATCCAGTCCGTGACATCGAAGCGATCCTCCTCATCCTCTACTATAAAATTCGGATGTCTTTGGACTCTCGCATTTGGTATTTTGGTCGGTCTGGCCGTGAGAACCGCGATTGACACGGGGATGCACCGTGAGTACTCCTACCGAAATCTCGATCCGACGAAGGCGGGTGCGAGGCGCCGCATATTCTGGAGCATTTACGGGCTGGAAAGGAGGGTTGCCTGGTCTCTACGGCGACCTTTCTGTCTTGCGGACTGTGACATTGATCCAGAGGAGCCAAGCGCGTCCGACTATAACATTCCCGACAGGATTACCGGTCTTCAAAGCGGCGATAGTCCATTAAGTGGAAACCCGGTCGCACTACGGTCGCAGGTCGATGCTTCTACGGCTGTCTTCCGTTTGACGAGGATCATGTCTCGAGTATACGTCGACATTCACCGCGTTGACAAGCCTATGGCCGACTTAAAGAAGGGCGTACCAACGCAGCTGGCCTGACTTAAGCAGTTCAAAAACACTTTACCGAAGATTGCAACGCGCGATCAGGATTGGGTGATGATGCACTACCAGGATTGCGTCCGGAAGCTCATAGAGCCCTTCTTGAGGATGCTCCAACCACACGATGAGCTGATGCAGGTATGCCTCCAAGCATCCGGCCATATGTGCCAGCTGTTCAAGAGGATGCGCACGAGGAATTTGTCTGCTTACTCTTTCTAATGATCAATTCATTTTTCATCGCTGGGATGAATATCTGGTGAGATCTTGGATTCCGCTACCCTGGGGTACAATTGGGGATTGATTTTACATCGAGTTATATCCTCTTCAAATCGCCATCCTGTGGAGTACGGCCACCTCGAATGACCTACGCGCCTGCTCCTCTACTTTGTTCGCTATGGCAGAGACCAATCCCAGGTTGAGGAAATATCGGGACGTGTTGGAAAGCATCATGGATAGCACGATGGAGCAGTTTGATCGATTTTCCAGCCCGGGAGCGACGAGTGTTTGTCGCTGTGCCAATTGCAGTCCCGGCGTCAGTGGTGAGAATGGGGAGGAAAATTGTTCGGCCTTCCACCAACTGGGAGGTACCTTCACGCGCCTCAACTTCGAGTTCCCCTCGCAGTCCGACCCCGAATACATTCTCGGTTCCGATCGAACTGGTCGGACTCGACCCGCAGCTAGTGCCCAGGAACCAGGCACAAATGGAAGGTCCACTGATTTTCAACATCCCCAGGTCCACCACCTTGCCCAACATTCGTCCATCTCGTATTCCCGAGTGCCTGGGTATGAGCAGGACATGGACAACTTTTTGTTGCCGGATCTCTGGGACTTCTCGGGCATGGATGCTGGGCCTATAGCTCCTTTGCTAGCCGGGGAGCCATTCTTGCCTCAGACGATGGATGAATTCCTCCTACGGGCCGCACAGAGAGACAGACTTGCTTTTCGCAGTAGCGAAGGTTGGTGGTATAACGAACGAGAATCTCGACCGCTTCTACCTACCTAGGTTTCTAATGTAGAGTCTGAAGACGCACAAGTCCAAACAATCCCGCTGTATCCCTTCTTCACCCCAATCATGCATGACCTGGCGACCCTGCAATGTGTCGCATTTGATCACCACGTTTTCTTTGGTCCCCGCCTCCATCCTGATGGCAAGGTGAGCCGATTTGCGGCGATAGGCCGCAAAGACCTAACGCCTATTTTCTCAGCAGTGAATAATCGCTCGCCAACGGTCTTGCGATCCCACCACCAGTCGATCGTGACCCCTTGGTGGCTATTTTCTGGCCTTTCATCAGGGGCATACCTTGGATTACATAGCTGTCGTGTCGGGAGCTCCCTGTGGTCTAATAGTTCGTCTCACCCGGTTTGGCTGAGTCAGGAGTCAGGTGGGCGTGGACAAGCACATAGTTCTGCATGACGGTAATACTCAGTGGCGCAAAGATGAGTTCCGAGAGAGGTCCCCCAGTCCGCGGTGCAGGTGCGCGTCGGCGATGCTTGCCAACTCCCTCCCTGGACCCCAGTCCTTACTCGGTACAGGCCGGTATGATTGCAGGTCTTCGAAAAGGGGGCTCGAGGAGTCTCCATGTTTGACAAATGTGAGTTTCATATGACCACTAACTACAACGACTACAGGATGGTTGTTGAGCAAGCGTAAGTTGTGGTAAGGACAGTGCAAAAAGAGCAAAGCATTTCAAGAACACAAGGCCGCATTGTCCACAGCCTCATCGTAAGTGGGGATCCATGAAACTACATGAAAAGCCTACAAAAACTAGGTCAACAGCTGCTAGTACAGGGTATAATCGAACTCGTGCTGCCTCGTTACTCCTTGCCCGGCCTCCTGTGTGTCGACCCACGGTTTGACCGGTTCTTGATTTTCGACTTCGAGATAGTATGCGTCGGGACAAGAAGTGAAGCTCATCTTGGGCTGTGCTTCGTAGAAGGCGTCAAATTTCTCGTCCGGCGCGTCTACGAGATCGTACACTTTGCCATCCGGGTGGAGAGTCCTCCAGGGATACAAGCAAACCTTGTCTTTACAGGTCTTGAGGACCATCATCAGGGCGTCGAGGCGCGGGAGGATCTGTTCCAGCGGCCGGCCGGCAATTTTGTAGGCAGACTATGCGTCAATGTCAGCGGCCATGTTGACCACTTGATGGACAGCGGTCTTTTTCATGGGGTCATCTAGCTGGAATGTATAATGCGGCCCAGAAATACAGGTGAACTTACTTTCGGATCATAAAACTCAGTCTCATTGGTGCACCACACAGCATAGTACAGACTGTAGCCTTCGGACACAAGCCTGAGACCCTTGTATGTGTTGTTCAGATAGTAGTTGCGCTACTTCCCAGCTTCTCGCTTGTTATCCGTGCGGGCGCCGTAAAGACCTTCGGGGACGCCCTGCACACGGAATGACGGACAGAATTAGCGATTAATTCCATGCAAACACGAGTCTTGGTGACAGGCAGCGGATCTGTGTCTTCTTACATAACCCCAATATTCGATGGTCGCGTGCTCACGACGTCGCGGCGGTTCCTCTTGCTCCAGGACCTGTCCGCTTCTTCCCTGCGGAATGGCCATGCCGTCCAACAGCTTGGTGACCCCGGCGATTTGAAGCAGAGTCGAGCTCACGTCTGTGTGAGTAGTGATTACATCGACCACACCTCCGGCCTCAATCCCCGGGCCGCGGACGTAGAATGGAACGTGAATGTCGGTATCTGTTGAATGAACAGAATCATTAACGACCGCTCGAGAGCAAAAGAGAAAATACTTGGTGGCCTTGCTTACCATATCCACACTCCTTGCCAGGGTTCATCCGGTGTTGGCTGATGTGGTACCCATTGTCGGTGGTGTAGAAGATATACGTGTTGTCCCGCTCCCCGGCGTCCTCGAGCTGTTGAATCAGCTCAGGCAACATCTCGTCCACGGCTTGTAGCGCTCGCAGTCTCTAGCGCTGGTAGTGGTCATTGTAGACCAGCACGGTGTCGTTCAGGCTTGGGAGGGAGCTGATCCACCCGACGCTGCCCTCGATGGCCGCGTTGTACGCCCTGTTGCGAGAGATCTTGTAGTCGGTGAACGTGTTCTGGTGGCGAGGTGCGGCCATGGGCTCGAGCAGATACGAGGGGTCCTTCTCGGGCTCCAGCACCAAGTTGGAATGAGGAGCGATGGGCGCAACGGTCAGGGAAAAGGGCCGTCGCCGTCGTTTGCCGCAGAGAGGTGTTGCAGGCCCTCGCGAAGAAAGATGTTGGCCTTGCGCACCACCACGTCCGTTGAGTATTGGCCCGCGCAGCTGACGGGCTCCTTGCCGTTATGGGCCATCTTCGCATTCCAGTACTAGTATGTGTACGGGTCGAGCAGGAAGTCGGAGCCATTGAAGCCGCGGGCGCAGGGCTTGTTGTAATTGTCGACCGAGTGAAAGTTGTACAGCTTGCCTGTGTAATTGGTGTTGTAGCCTGCTTCCTGCATCCACAGGAACAGATTGTCGTCGTTAAATCCCTTTGACACGAACTTCGGGTATCCGCCGTGCGGCGGGCCACGTTCGTGACGTTATGGTTGTGTGCCGCTCGCCCCGTCCACAGCGTTGCCCGTGACGGACAGCAGAGTGCCACGGTGCAGAAGTGCTGAGCGTATGTCGTGCCTTTGTTCACGATCAAGTCTTACAATGCGTTTGATTAGGGGACTTGTCAAAAAGTTCTCGCGCCAGAAGTCTCTTCACAAACCTGTAAATATGGCATGTGCTCGGCTGCCTCCGTGTGGCGGTCCTGGTCGTCGGTGAGAATGAACAAGATGTTGCGCCTTTTCTTTCATGCCATGCCGAAGCTCGCCAGGAGCAAAGTGGCAAGCACATACCACAGCATGATGCTAGAATCCTCTCTTGTCCGTTACCCTGTTGCCGATGGAGCCGCCGTTGCCGTTCTCCTCGTCGCCCTCGAGGTACGTTGGGTACTAGGAAAGGCTTTTGAAAAGTAACTGCACTCAATACCTTCAGTACCGTTTAAGCGTGTAGGCTGGTATCTGCGATATTCGCCTTCACCCACGATCTTAGGTGGGGCTTTGTCATTAAGTAGAAGCATTCAGAGAGGTGCGATAGAAAAGAAAATTCAACAAAAATTCCTCATTCACTGGATCCAGTTTGGTTTTGGCGATGATCCAGTGTTTGGATGGAAGAGATCATGGGGAAGATTTGAGGTCCGTACCCCGTCGGCAGACATACTAACATTTCTGTGCCGACAGGTCAATTCTGTATAGCGGGCCAGGGTTGGATCTCTTCCTAGTGCAATTCTTCACACCCTGACGTTTGCTTGGGACTTGAACTGCACAGCATTGGACAACGGTCACATCAGAATGAGAAGACCGGCAATATCGTCCCCATTCCATTTTCACCACAAGCCGAACCCAATGGCAAATGCTAACTTGAGACACCCCGATAACCGATGCCCAACACTCCGAAATGTTTACTCCGTTCAGTTGAAAGTACTCGGTAGGCTTGTCCTCGTCGGCAGTGTAGAGCTCTCGGAAAGACGGCTTCAGCGAGGATCAGGATGTCCCTGCCTAAGTCGTCGCTGGACGACGGCAGAACGAGTCGGATCCAATCCTCGCTCCTCGGAACCATCGATCATCCGGCTGTAACTCTGGCAGCTTGGTGGAAAAAGAAAAAGCCCAGATAAATTGGACGGGCGTTCCGCACAGCAAGGCTTCGGATAGCGTAGAAGCAGGTGTACCAAGGAAGAATTGCCGTGGCTGTCCAGTATGAACGGCAAAGCCTCGATGTGCCAGCTGATCAGACTGCATCTCTCCTGCGGCAGCATCCTCATCTGGAGCGATCGAACGATAATTACAAGACGCTGATCCCGCAATCCCAGGTCGAGCCTGTTGAGGATGTCCCAGATGAGGCCAGCAAGACCGAGAGACCATTTCCCAAGGCCATTATCCGAACATTGTTTCCTATCCTACTCATGGGTCTGTTGACGAATTTCTGCGCAGGTTGCTTGTCGCTAACCTTTGACTCCGAAGGCGTCTTTCTCGTGAATGGCGACAGTTCCGTGGTGCTCGCCACGAATCAGCACATTGCATCCGAATTTGACGCGTTACCGTCGGCAGCCTGGCTGTTGACGGCTTACACGCTGGCACAATGCTCGTCGCAGCCTCTGGTACGTCCTGACTCGGGCTCATGTCCTCAACTCCTGCAGTTTCAGAACAAGACAATAATAGACATCCCACCAGTATGGCAAACTCGGCGACATTTTTGGAAGGAACAGGAACCTTGCGTTCTGTTAGGCCAGCTTCGCTCTCGGGTGTATGATCATGTCAGTTTGTGTCTTGTCAGCCAGTTCTATCAACCATACTTACATCGTCAAATTGGCATAAGCAGGACTTACTGGCAGGTTCTGGCTGGTCGAGCAATCAGCGGCATTGGGGCGTCCGGAATGGTCGCATTGACATCAATTGTGGTAGCCGGTACGTTAGCCGGTTGCGTACAACGATCTCTACGCCCGGTAACGTACCACAAGACTAACGAACATAGATTTACTCCCTCTCAGCTATGTCGCGCAGTACCGAGCATATGTCAATTTTACAGCCACCATGGCGAGGTCCATAGGAGGTCCGACAGGCGGGTGGTTAGCTGGCAGTATCGGGTGGAGATGGTATGTTGCGAGGCTTCATCTTTCGGGTTTCTCGCCTTTCCTACTGACCTGGCCATTGCAGGTGCTTTGTCGCGCAGTGTCCGCTGGCTCTGTGAGGGCTCGCTCTCATTCTCTGGCGGCTACCTGAGCACAATCAGCCAGGCAGTGGTGAGAACTCAGAAGAAGAGAGCAAAGCCGGCTCCAAACGCGCTCGCATCGGCTTTCTCGGGGCCTTTGCCCTGGTGGGCACGGTGCTGACTTGCCTTATTGTCTCTCGACCAAGGCACCAAGGGGATATCCTGGCATTATCTGGTACCCCTGGCTTGCACCTTTCTCGTCTTCGCAAACTACATTCGTTGTCGTCGAGAAATGCTTTGTCAAAGAGCCGATCTTGCCGCTGCAGTTGATGTCTAAGCGTGATGTCTTCACTCCATACCTCATCATCGGCTGTCAATCAGGAGGCCAGTTTGGCGTACGTATCCTACACATTTGCAGTTGGTCTCCTAGATTACTTGTGGGCGAAGGCAGGGCTGACATGATTTTCTTTGGCTTTAGCTTCTCTACGGGATCCCTATATACTTCCAAGTCGCCTCCGGCGAGTCCGTTTGTCGAGCAGGCAGTCGAATCGTGCCTGTGGTAATTAGCAATGCCTCTGGAACTCTCCTCGGCGGCCACCTCATCAGCAAGACTAAGCGGTACAAATATCTCACCGTGCTTGGTATTTGCTGTTCCCTGGCGTGTTTTGCCCTCATGTGCCTTCGCTGGCACGACGCCACCAACTGGGCAGAGTCATGCTACGTTTATCTTGCCGGCTTCGGAAGGGGCACAACCCAGTCAAGCACCTTCGTTCACCTTGCTGCCAGTCTAGATCACTCTGATATCGCCATCGCCGGCACCACATGGTTCCTTTCGCAGAGCTTCGGTTCTCTGGTTGGCGCCGGTTTCGCGACCTCCTTGATGAATGGTATACTGATTTCCACCCTCGAGAAGAATCTCACCGGATCTAAGGACAAGGTTACGGTAAGAGTGTCCCTTTCTGTATCTACCCATCATACTCGCTGACCACAGTATAGATCATTCGACGTGTCACGTCAAGCGTCGCATCCATCCACAAGCTGCCAGAGCGACTTCAAAAGATCGTAGCGAACGCCTACATCACCAGCTTGTTGTATTCTGATGGTGAGTCTTTTGAACCCCTTGATGGTTCAGATCTGGCCTCTGAATGCGCAACTCATTCCCAGGTCTTCTATATTCTTCGTCACTTGTGCATTGGTGGCCACCCTGACTTTGGGAGAGCGGTCTTTGTGAGATAGATTGGGAGCGCCAGAAAAGGTTCGGACAGCGACGTTTAGGGGCCGACAATACAATAGAGACGGTAGCATGGTGCTCATGACGATTTTTTCTAACAAACACACGATGGATGTCAACTACGACCTCAGTAATCTGAATTGTGCCACGCTCGATGAGTAGTGAAGTCTCCGCATACCAGTGCGGGATAAATATGGATAGAAACGCAAAGAAGAGACACCAAACACGATCGCGGGCCTAGAATATTATACCAAAGTAGGTTTCAATTACTAACCCACAAGATATACACTCTAACTTCCAGCCATTCTATTAGACATCCAAAATGTCAGGGAATTCATCGCAGTGCTGTTCGATCTGCTCGATCTGCTCGATCTGCTCGAGGGCGGCAAACACCTCTCGTTCGCTTCTCAAGAAACAGTCAGACCCGCCACACAAGTCTACAATCCCGCTCAAGGTCAGCTTCTGGAGGATATGACAGTGGTGCTTGGAGTCGGCGGGCGAGAAGAGCCATATCACGATCCCCTGCCTCCTGTGCTCTTGTACGATGTCTAGGAGGGTCTGGGTGGCACAGTTGTTGATGGTGGCAGATGGGCCAAAGTTGAAGAGGGTGGTAAGACTCCTCCCACTCGGTGATATTACTTGCTGGTCAGCAAGTGGGTTGGAGGATGATCTGGCCAAAGCCGTCTTTCTCATCTTACCCCGCTGCAGCGCCCGGGTATTGCTTAAGCGACGCTCAAAGTTATCGGAGCTTGTGAACATCAATTGGCCAGTGATGTTGACCATCGTCAATAGGTCAGAGGGGAAGCATACTGTGATTTTGCGAATGACATTGGCATTGTCAGCTGCCGCTTCAGACGACGCAGGGATTGGATGTAGAGAAACGCCTGCCTGAGTCGAGGACCGGACTACTGCCAAAAGAGACAGTATGATACCGACCATTAATCCAGACGACACAGAGATGAAGACCGAAGCTCCAACGACAAGTACCATCAGAGACAATTCCGACCAGCCCTTGACTCGCAAAAGAAAGCTATCTCGGAAGAGCTTTCTTCGATCATTGAAACTCCGACTTCCGTGAGTAGAGCGGCAAGGACGCATTTGGGAACGTAATGAAAAGCCGGAAGGAGCAAGAGCAGGCAGATCGCGATCATCAGACTGAGGAAGACGCTGCTCATGGGCGTCCTGCCACCCGCGGCGACATTGAGTTTGCTTCGTCCATAGCCTCCAAAAGATAGAAGCGCGTTGAACCAACCAGCAACAGCATTGGCCGTTCTCAACGCGATGAGCTCATGATTTGTGCTGGAAGTGAATATTTCTCCTGTTGCGTCTGCTTTTGCGGCTTTTCGTAGTGTGTGTACGGTCAAGATAGACTCAAAGAGACCAGTCGTGGCCAATGTCAGACTGTGTCCCGGAGGACCTTGACGTTTCGCGGCCGGAATGGCCATTGGACAATCGGCACAGATGGTGTGTCTTTTCCGGGCCGCAAAGATCCTAGGATTTCAAGGCCTTGATCTTGCCATTGGAAGATATAAGTCATGAAACAGCGAGAATGACAATAAAGAGGCGGTCTGGAAAAGGCACAATCATGGGATACCGTGTTTTGAGCGACGTTTTGACTGACCTGGATTTGAAAGGTCAGTGGAATTTCTGCCGACCTGTTAAGGCTTCTTACCGAGCCGCCATGACAAGAGTGAAGCTCGAAATCGACAGTAGTGCCGAGAGCACATGGAGATTCCCGAGATTTTCCAGAATGAAGATGAACTTGCCAGCGATACTGCTGCCAGTCCGAGAGGAGGGTGCATCATCAACTTGTTGAACCAGAGCCTTCAGCCCCAGCGCCAGTATTTCCTGTTCGACGACGACTCCAATGCCAAGCGCGATGGTGAAGCCTCTCACAAAGGGGGGGGCTGAGGATACAACTCACGAAGCCAGTCTGGTCAAGCCGGTAACGAGAAGGATTGTACCTGCTGTGGCAGTGACCGCTCCCACAAGCTGAGAATCATGCACAGGATCCGCGTCGGTCTTGCTTGTGCCCTTGTTGACCAATGCGACCGTTATTCTCACAAGAAAAGAGCCTGGGGCTTCGGGACCGATGATCATCTGACGACAGTGTCCGAGCAATGCATAGATCAGTGCGCATACAATGAAGGACACCATCCCGCTCGTTGGGTGGGCATGGCCCACTAGCGCGAACGAGACGGACAAGGGGGCGTATACAGCCGCCACCGTCGTCGCGCCCATGAGATCCCCAGATAGATCCTCGAGTCGATACTTGGATATCCAACTGAGGCCCGGCAGCAAAGACCTTATAAGCCTCCCATGCCAACTTCGTCCCCTTCGCTTGCAATCGGCCTCTGTCTTACCCTCGTCGTTGGAGCTTGTGTATGGACTAGCAGTTCGAGTCTGGTATGCTTTGCCTGTCGAGTGATGGCCATATTGTCGACATTGGTCCTGATCGAGCAGGAGACCGTCTTTCTCTGTTCTTGCTCTTGGAGCGTCCATGCCGTCGCCTCATCGCCGCCCATGGTTGGAAAAGGATCTCACGACCCAAGTTAGAATCTGTTGACAGCGAAGTATGTCGGAACAACATTTCATACCATGTGTCCGACTGCGTCAACTAAGTGTTGTACGTGATCATTTCCACATATCCACGAGCCTAGCTCGCGATGAACGCGCTGGATTCGACTACACCCCTCGGAACAGCTTACGAACGTACAGCGTCTGCTATATACTATAGGGGTATCTACTATCACTTATCGCCATACTCTGCCTCCTCTGCAGAGAAATCCCTAACAGCTATCAAGAAGTGCTGAGACGGGCACACCAATCCCCATGTCTCGACCCACAAGACAACTCTCTCTCCCTGTTGAGTTCAGCTCACCGGCGCCTGACGAGTCTAACCTCAAACCCGTGTCCGAATGTCCGCCACGCCCTTGAATGCGCGCGGTTCATCGCAAGCACGACATCTTTGTAGCTCGACAAATCAACGCTCATGGACTATAATAACACCCCGTTCTGGCTGTTCGTTGTGGTGATGTGGGAACTCCAAGACGAATAGCTCTTCATCGTCTCTGCCGCAGGCAACGCCATGCTCAGTGTCTCTACCGTTGAACAGGTACCTCGTTCCAAAGGCAGCAATCTGTCACCATGTCGAGGACGTCCTTGCTGCCACCGTGTTCGACCCTGGCCTTGACGAGAAGAGCGAGATATCACGGCTCCCTCCGAACAGCAGTTCGATCCCAAGGCGGAAAAACGACTTCTGCGCAAGATCGATCTTCGACTGATTCCCATCGTGGTCCTTCTCCATACCGTGCCTTTGATCGACCGTACCAACATCTCGGCCGCCCGAGTTTCAGGCTTAGATGAGGACCCGGATCTCACCATCGGATATCGAGCGTCGATCGTCACCTCGACCTTCTTCATCGGCTACATTGCTTTTGATATTCCCAGTAACATCCTTCTTCCGAAGATTGGTGCTGCGCGGTTTCTCGGAACCATTACTTTTCTTTGGGGCATTGTCACCGTTGTGCTGGGATGTGTCGACAACTGGCAAGGCTTTGCCGTACTACGGGTTCTCCTAGGCATCTTTAAAGCTGGGTACGCAAGTTCCCTCTTCCCCTGGGCGGGGGATTCTCCGTGAGGCTCGTCAGAAAGAAGGAAAGAAAGAAAGCTGAACTCCAACAGAAACACCCCCGGTTCCATCTTCCTCGCATCTGCCTGGTATCGTAGGTATGAGGTACAAAACCGATTGGGATTCTACTATCTGTTTTCCATGGGCATCTCCGCTTTTTCCAACCTCCTCGCATACGGGATCGTCTAAATTGCACACCACACGACGTGGAAAGGCTGGCGGTGGCTGTTCGTCATTGAAGGATCGGTCACCAGCTTTCTCGGTCTCATAGCATATTCCTTCCTGGTCGACTTCCCGAACTCGCCCAAAAACAAGTTCCTCACTGAGGAGAAGGAAATGGTCACTGCTCGCTTGGCTACGGAGCGGGGCACCAACGAGGAACATAAGGTCACCTAGAAGTCCACCGGCAAGGCCCTCTGCGACTGGAAAGTATAGGCCTGTACATACATGTACATGAGTGCCACGATCCGCTCCTACGCCTTTTCCTTCTTCCGCCCCCTCATCCTGAAAAAGAGCTTGGGTTATTCCCAGACTCTGTCGCTTGTCCTGTCTACGCCTCCGGCCATCTTCGCCGTCATAACCTCGATGATCATTGCCAGACTCTCTGACAGATGCAGGATGAGAAGTCCTTTTTACGTTCTTCAATGTGTCATGGGTATGGTCGGACTAGCCATGACTGGCTATCTTAAAGCTCCTGGTCCAAGGTACGTGCATGGACGCAAGGCAATATAGCCGTTGCAAAGGCTAACATGCCCGTGTCTGACTGACCGGTGACTGACCATACTCAGGGATGTCGGCGTGTTCTGGGTTATGCTGGAGTCAACGGCATGGTTCCGGCCGCCCTAGCCTGGCAGGCCAACAACTGCAGAGAAGGTCGGAAGCGGGCTGTGGCGGGTGGCCTGCAAATCATGTTTGGCGCCAGCGGAGGTCTTGCCGCCACCTACATTTATCGCCAGCAGGCACGTACCGACACCCTGCTGCAAATGATGAATGTTTTTTGCTCGCTGACCGATCCATGGGACAGGATGCTCCTGGCTATGTGCCCGGAATGACGACCGTCATTCCGGTCGTCGCTCTAGCCATCTTTGTGGCCATCGGCACCTCACTGGCGGTTCGGAAACTCAACAAGGACGCTGATGAAGGGAAACGCATCCTTGAAGGTATCGAGGGGTTCAGATATGCGTGGTAGATGCTCCCTTTCCCTGACTTTCAAGAGCGTCCGCTTCTTAAACCCGCAGTGGATGAAGGTGGTCGTACCGTCCCTGCAGGATGGGGTCGAACGCAGTCGGTTGGTTCAGCTCGAGTAACGATTCTTTTCCCCAGATGAAGAGGAGAGTAACGAAGTCATGTTGAGGCGTACCTTACGTATGCAATTTATTGTTCTGTCAAGAATGCGGAGGTTGAGGCCGCGTCTTTTAGTCGTTGAACGTCCAAGGGCTCGCAATTCCCATCGAGCACGCTGTCAATCATCCCCATCTCGATGAAATCCTCGTCATAAAAGTAAGGGAGCGTTTAGGTGACGTGAAAGGAAGCTGATCGTTAAGCGAGATCACCTACTCGTATTCACTCCGTACTCATCTTGGCTTTGACTCGGCGATGGACAATGTGGCTGGTGAGGCTGGTGGGCTCTGGAGGCCTAAACCGCGAGTGGAGGCTGCGCAGGCTACGGAGCCACTACTCGGTACACGCCAGTGAAAGAGTGATCCTCTCAGCTACCTCCCCCTTCACAATCACTATTGGTGCTATCGTCGTCTTCTCTATGAATTGAAATTCTCCTGACTACCCCTGGTGCTTCTATTCCAACGGATCAAGATCCAAAGCTTGGCTCCCGAACACGAGGCCTGGAAGGTCTCGCGTCATTTCACCTCAGATGCCGCAATCAAAGTCAATCCTACAGAGAATATACAACACACCATGTCTAAAGTCCCGCCAACCCGTCTTTTTTGTCCCTTTTTCTCTTCCAAGCTAGCAAAAGTTCGTGTCGAACTCTCCTCTAAATGCCGTTGAGGGCTTCTGTTGGCGCATGTCGAGTACGAGGTACTGACTGACTAGATCGTGCTGCTGTTCCGCCTGCTTGGTGTCTTTCCCGCTGGGGGTGATCCCTCTTCCTTCTAGCCGACTGCAAATCTCAGCACATCATACTGCAACCGTCGAATGAGAGCGATTAGAGGACAACCCATCACCTTGCCATCCTCCACGCCATACGCCGTCTCTATCGCCACCGCCATCGCCATCGCCATGCCCTTGGAGGTTTTGAAACGTTGCGCAGGGCTGCCTACTTTGGTAAAGCCGCCTCAACACCCGCCGTAAGAGTCAAGATGTCAAACTATCACGAGCACCGTGACACAGAGCTGGTGGAGCTGGATGAGATGATGAGGCTGTTGGCCACGGCGGACCGTGACCGACTCCTAATCTCTTTCTGCACTCCCTTCTTGACCCTGCTTTAACACTTTATCTTCCAACTCCAACCGACTTTATACACGCGGGCGGCATACATCAAACAAGCACCCAGCCCCGTAAGTACACCGAGGCATATCTGTGCAACCAGATATCCGCCTCGTCCCCCCCCGTTCGTCGTCAACAATGCCCCTCCGATCGGAGGTCCAGCAAGTCCTGCAAAACTGAACAATGAGAACGCCATACCCATCCTGACACCATTTTTACTCAAGTCGTTGTTCAAACTCGTCACCGTTGTCGGAAAGAGACACTGAAAAGCGCCCGCTGAGAACCCATAGAACGTTGCAAACACATACATGCCGGTTTGCGAATTTACTGCAATCCAGCTAAATGCAAAAAGCGAGTTGATGAAGAGGAGCGGGACCATCGCGTTCAGGGGACCCATGAACCGATCCGCGATGAAGCCCGTGACAAGTCGAACTGGTACAGCGGCCCCGTTGAAGATGATGAGCAAGATCAGTGAGTTGGAATAGCTCATGTTCAGAACGTCGCGACCGAACGAGCCAATGAAATAGTAGGAGAAGAATAGCCCGCCGAAGACGAGCGACATGCCCAGGAGAACACAGACATATGGCACTTCATAGAACGCCCTCCACTCGACAATCGGCCCGGATTTTCGAGGAGGCAATCTCGGACGCATGAATGCCAGGGCCATCGAAAGCAATCCCAGATTCATAAACCCGAGCACGCGAATAGTCCATGCATATCCGATCGTTGGAAGAAGCTGACGCACAAGCACGGGATACACGGCGCCACCCACCGAGTTGCCGGTCGACACAATGGCCACAGCGAGTCCTCGATTCTTCTTGAAATACGTCGTCACAAGGCCCATAGTCGGACAGAAAAATATCCCACTCCCCAATCCTGTGCAGAGGCCTTGCGCAAGCACAAGCTGCCAAAACTCCTTGCACAGACTCGTCATGAAGATGCCGATGACTTGGACGATGGATCCAATCAGTAAGGTCGGAATGAATAACCCGGCGTCCAGTGCCCGACCTGAGAACGTGCTCACGAAGAAGACAATCCACAGCTGAACGGAACCCACCCAAGAGATGGTTGATTGAGATTCGCCCAACTTCTCGGTGTAATAAGTTTGAAAGACGCCAAACGAATTGATGTATCCCCTGGGAAAGGCATGAGCGGTTTGTTCAACCCAAGGCTGCAAAGGGTTCCGGCTCTAGCCGGACATCCACATACCAGGTACAGAAGCAGACAACCCACCCCATGGCGACTTGCAGCCATGCCTTGAAGCCCCCATCTGGAGGGGGCCCGGGATCGACGATATCTCGAGCGCTGAGGCGTGAGGTGATCCTGCTCAGCGCATTGCTGGTGACTTGTTTGAGTTCTGGGAACGAAGTATGTTGGAGATTCTTTTCACCGTCGGACCGGTTCTCTATGACGTCCTTCTCGTATTCCGATATGTTCTGACTCGACATGATGGGTATGTAGTCTCGCGAGCATTGGTCCTGGCTGCCGAGTCTTGGAAACGAGGTAACGAGTGGGATTTCTTCCAGGAATATGCCAAAGATAAGGGAAATTGGGCAAGAGCAGGAAGCAGAGACATTGTTGCATGCAAACTGCGTCTCCAAAGTGTGGCTGCATCAAAAGTTCGTCGCGCGACTGCTGAAGCGGTGGGCTTTTGGGGTAATCAAGTGGTCAACCAGTGCCGAATAGCCGACTCCATGGCGGAAAAATCACTTCAAATACGGCGAAAACTGATGTAATGCAGGGAATCGGCCGATACCGCAGCGCGCAAAGAACCGGCAAACGCGGTGGCTACGACCCGAGTATCAGAGATGTAATGACGATAAATGTCTCGCACACAACTCCGAGCTTGGCAGATCTGGCGCCTGAGAGAACTCCGATGTATGCGCTTTGGGCACTTCGAGATCTTGATGCCGCCGCTTGTGCCCAACGGCAATCAACCACTGGCTAGCCGTGATGCCGTCTGCATCATAACCAGAGCTGCAGCAACGACCCTGTCAGCACCAAGCTCCAAGAGTCGGTCAGTCAAAGGGCGGCGGCCAGATGTTTGCAACGTATGCCGGTCCTGTTGGGACCGGGCTCTTGAGGCAATAAGAGGGTTTCAACAAGACATGTAGCACGATGATGTGCTAGAAAGCGAGGACAGGGGGAAGTGATGCTGTCAATTCTAAGCATCATTAGTGTGGCGGCTTTCCGGCTCGGCGAGCCGCGAGTCAAGACTTAATAGTTCCATCAATCTTCTCTTTAAGACGACCAACCTTTTGACATCTGAACTGCTTTTTCCCATCTCTCAAACATCTCCTTACTCTTGGCTTCGTGCAACTGTGGTTTGAACACAGTGCTACCCTCGACATTGATGTCTTTCAACTCCTCAATGCTGTCCCACACTCCGACGGCCAGACCGGCAGCAATAGCGGCTCCCAGAGCGGTGGTCTCCCGCATTTGTGGCCGCCGCACAGGGATCTGAATCAGGTCTGCTTGTGTCTGATAACGGTCAGCTCCCATCCAGACCTCAAAGGTTAAGTCTACAAGCCTGCGACATACCTGCATGGTCAAATCAGAGTTGCTCATACCGCCATCGACGGCCAGCTCAGCAAGTTTGGCGCCCGAATCTTTCTCCATAGCATCGAGGATTGCTTTTGTTTGGAAGCATGTTGCCTCGAGCGTGGCCCGCGCAATGTGTCCGCGTTGAGTGTAGGCAGTTATACCGTCTGGATGAGATAGAATCAGCATCAAAACTGACGCGCAGAGACCGAGACTCTTACAGATGGTTCCTCTCGCATCATCAATCCAGTATGGGGCAAACAATCCACTGAATGCGGTGACGAACACGCAACCACCGTTGTCGTCCACCGTGGCAGCCAATTGACTTATCTTGCTGGAGGACTCCACAAATCCAAAATTGTCCACCAAGAACTTGACGCTGGATCCCGCCACGGCGATACTGCCCTCGAGCGCGTACATCCGCTTCCCTTCGCCAAAGTCATAGGCAACCGTGCCGAGAAGCCCGTGGGTGGAGAAGACCGGCTTTTCACCGACGTTGTACAAGAGGAAGCAACCCGTGCCATAGGTATTTTTGGCCAATCCGGGCGTAAATCCCTTCTGGCCGACCAGGGCGGCTGATTGATCGCCCAGGCAGCCAGTAATGGGGGTGCCTTTCAGCACACTCAACTCTAGACGTCCGTACGCCTCCGGATCTGACGACCGTGTAATCTTGGGGAAGTGAATCTTGCTCTGGTCCAGCCGGAAGAAATCAATGAGTGACTCGTCGTAATCCAAGGTTTTCAGGTTCATGAACATGGTTCGCGAAGCATTGGTCGGGTCAGATACAAACACATTCTTCTTGGGCCCCCCGTTAAGCTTGTAGACCAGCCACGCGTCAATGGTGCCGAAGGCCAGGATGCCTTTGTCGTAGGCCTCTTTCACCTTGGGCTCGTTGTCGAGAAGCCATAGTAACTTCCCAACCGAAGGATACGTCGACAATGGAAGACCGCAGAGCTCTTGAAGTTGGTCTGATCCCAATCGATGCTTGAGTTTACGGACGAGGGCCTGTGTACGAGTGTCGGTCCACACTATGGCATTGTACAATGGCTCGCCAGTCTCGTGGTTCCAGACGACCTAGATTCCGTCCGCGCGGAAGCGAGTCAGAGGTGGCATTGATTGGCTCGCAAACGAGTAGACAACTGAGCGAGAGGGGGAGGGGGAGGGAGGGAAGGATTGCCTTACAGTTGTCTCACGTTGGTTTGTGATCCCCACGGCTTTGATATTCGCACTTGCGTGGCCCTGGGTCTCCAGGTCCTGGACGGCACCATCGATGCACTGCTCCACCGACGAAATGATTTCGAGTGGATCGTGCTCATGCCAGCTATATGGGAACGGGATCAGAAACATCACACCATCTCGCTTTCCATATCGGTGGCAACAGGGGGCGAAGGCGTCGGGACTTACCCAGGATGCGGATAGATTTGCTTGAATTCCATCTGGTGCGAGGCAATCACCTCACCATTGCGATTGAAGATCAGAAACCGGGTGCTCGTCGTGCCCTGGTCGATGGAGCCCACGAACGTCTCGTGAGAGGACTTGGTGGTGTCGCCCATCTTGCTGCTGATTGTGGCCAACATCCAATCAGCTCGAGTGCAGAATTGCAATGTGAAAGGCTTAGCTGGAATGTATGATGTTGTCGAAGGCAGAGAGCTCGGTAGTTCCTTTTTCTTCTTTTGGGGATGGAGCTCTCGAGCAATGATCAGGTCTTTTCGACAAGCTCTAAAGAGCCGGTGATGAAATCTTTGACTTTCTGGTGGTTCAACTTTCTCGAAGCTATCTTCGGCTCGGCATGTCAGACCCCGAGATGCAGAGACAATCAATCACTGGGACCCGTGCGGAATCCGGGGTTTTCGGGGAGACCGTGGCTTGCCCACGCGAGCTGGGAGAGCGATGTGTCAAAGATCAGTCGCGCTCGAGTCAATTCCGTCCCCCAGACGGCCAAGAATGCCAGAGCGCCGTTGAGACTCTGCTCGATTCAATCAGCGACATGCCGATCCAGGTTCGAGACGCATGATATATGGCCTAGCATCGTCTAGGGGCAAACGGCCGCCACGGAAGAAGCAGAACGGGCAGAAGGCTTGCATGGCGGCGTCAATCCCGTCAACTACGAGACGGCTAATGCACGTCAGGCCAACCACACCTTGATTCGAACGTGAAAGAACAAAGAGGGGGTTGACAAGGCAGCTTTCTTTCGCCCAGCACTGCGAGTGCAACATCGGCACCGGGTAGCGCAGCACGGGCCCAATGCCATGTCCGAGCTCGAGCTTCTCATCCAGGCGGCAGCTCTCGGCAGCTCTGTGGAGAGGCTGAGCTGAGCAACATCAGAAAAGCGTACAAGTATACGAAGCAATAGTGGACGGTCCAAGGGGGACGGTGGCGTTGCTCGGCGTGAGGGAGCAACGGGGCGCCAGAGACTGTCACTCGCTGGTGGATGGGATTTGGCATGCCAGCCCCCTTGTTTCGGGGCGGTCTTGACCAGTACGGGAGCATTCTGCGGGGTAGAATGGCAGCATGATGGAGATACGAGAGCGCTGTCTTGCCGCTTGTTCCTGTCTCTCCTGCTCCGCCTCTGGATTCGGGGGATTTTGTACACCCGATATGACTGTTTCTCGCGGACGGAGGGGTTGCCACGTTCACATTCGAGAGCCGGCAAGTGTCCTGGCGACCATCAACAGGAATCGCTATCACTATTTTAAAACTACGGCAGAGTGCAGACGTGCAGCACCGGCCCAGGCGCTCGGACAGAGATCTAGATCTACCGACCCTAGAGGATTCGACCCCGGCGGTGGCTCTTCTCTAGGTTAAGACGGTACGATACTCGATCAGTCACTCGAGTTGGTACAAAGGCTGCTGATGATTGTGCACCGAGTGGCGATGATTAATCATAAGCAGGCCTCGTACGGCGTCCATTCACGTGGGCAAGCAATTCCCAAAGGGGAAGAAGAATTCAGCAGGGACTGGGTGGCTGGGGGGGCAAGAAAAGAGAAAGGAGGAGAGGAGAGAAATGGCCTGTGGAACGTCAGCCTCGGTCAGACCTCTCCCGAGCTTCTCGTTGGCCGGTTTATGCCTCGCGTCCATTAGCAGACTGACTGTACGGAAAGTCAGGGGGGAGTATGGAGTCTGGACGACACGTTCGCAAGCAGTACTCGATCCTCTGATGCATCCATCGAACGAACCAACCTGGTCCCGTGCCCAGCATGGCCCTTGCCACGCCCATCCGCAAGGCTCCCCAGACTCTCCAGATTTCCAACAGCTTTGCTGCTGACCTCCCCCAGGAGCCCAAGTCAAGTTGACCTGGCCTTCGGGCTTCCTGGGCCCGAGATCGATCATCCCAGTTGGGCCAGCAAGTCTTTCCATTCGTGCGTGATACATGCTTTTTGTACCTCATCACCTCCACCGACTTGGTTCCGCCTGCATGCAACCTCGCCTCTCGATGGCAACCAAATGTCTCCAATCCTCCTTCACCCTGACTGGTTGGTACCCGCCCGCCTCCGAGCTTCGACCTGGTGCTGTATGCAAAATTGCGGTTCTGACCCCGGTCGTCACCACCGCTGGGGCCCCAAGGAAAGTTGATAAGAGTATGGCCTGCCTCGCCCTGGGGAGCTGACTCAAATGGCTCCTCCTGACCAGATTCAGTCCCTCTCGCTTTCCCTCCCTGCGAATTCGTCCAAGGTTCAGGACGCCGGCATCATGGCCCTCGAGAAAGAATCCCTCTCGTCTACTCCTCCTGCCACCCATAATGAGCATGGGGTATTCCACCATCCTCATGAATACCGTCATACCACGGTCGAGGGCCAGCCGGCATACGCGGAACATGGCCCTCTGGTCGATCACAAAGTCCCGCAGGAAGATGTGGTCCAGTCTGAGCCAGATCTGGTCTGGAGCCGGGTCCGGCATTTCATGCGGGAGCCGTTGTCCGAGTTTTTTGGCGTCTTCATCCTGATTCTGTTCGGCGATGGCGTCGTGGCTCAAGTCGTCCTCAGTAACGGCACTAAAGGTGACTACCAGTCGATCTCCTGGGGTTGGGGGTGAGTAGAAACCACTGTCCGCTCCCCCCCAAATTGTCGCTAATTCTGCAAAGGTTGGGCGTTATGCTAGGAGTTTACACCGCTGGCATCTCGGGAGCACATTTAAATCCCGCAGTAACGTTCGCCAATGTATGGACGAAGATTTCTCGAATCTACCACTCAATATTCTAAGGAGATAATTTCGTACTGATTCGCAAAATAGGCAGTTTTCCGCAAGTTCCCCTGGCGAAAATTCCCTATCTATATGGTGGCTCAGACTCTGGGAGCCTTGTGTGCCTCTGGGGTGGTCTACGCCAACTATAAGTCGGCCATTGACGTCTTTGAAGGAGGGGCTCACATCCGAACGGTCCCTGGCTATTCGGATACTGCGACTGCGGGTATATTCTGCACATACCCAGCTGCCTTTATGACCAAGACTGGACAATTCTTCTCCGAGTTCATCGCCAGCGCTATCCTCATGTTCTTGATCTATGCACTCAAGGACGACGGCAATCTGGGAGCTGGAAACCTGACACCCCTGGGGCTATTCTTCGTCATCTTTGGCATCGGCGCTTGCTTGTAAGTTGTGGAGCATTCCGGCCAAAGGATCGGCACTGACTCTTCGTTCCTTCGACAGTGGTTGGGAAACCGGCTATGCGATCAACCTGGCTCGAGACTTTGGTCCGAGACTGATGTCGTACATGCTGGGATACGGCCCACATGTGTGGACGGCCGGCGATTATTACTTCTGGGTAAGATTCACCATCACCCCGGCAGGTTGGGGTTCTTCGCTAACCACTCCCATAGGTGCCTATGGTTGCGCCTTTCTTTGGATGCACCTTTGGTGGGTGGCTATATGACATGTTCCTGTTCACCGGCGAATCACCCGTCAACACGCCATATGCAGGGCTGGCGAGATTTCTCAAGCCGAATCGGGCGACATGGTCGAACACCTACGTGCCGCAGGAAGGCTCAAAGGTCTAAAAATCTTCAAAGGGACTGATTCTCGACTTGGATTTTGAACATGAACTCGCACCAAACACCTCGGCTGGCCCACGCAGAGGGAGACCGCAAGGAAGGGACTTTGGACTCGAACATAGGGAGGCCTCAGAGATGGCCAGAAGTCAACAGAGGTCCAAGACGGGCAGACAAAAAGGGACAATCTTCCAGAGATGTATTTTTAGGTGTTTGATGACTTTGATGAAGGCACATGAAAAGAAAATAATAGCTGGTGTTTGCATACGAGCCTCCTGGGCGCGTTCCAACTTTGTTGGCGTGCCTCGATCCAGCTACTCGGCATTTCGCCCCCGACTTGGCTGGTCTCGTCTCCCATTCCTGTTTGGGACTAGTGCTTAATTTCCCGCCAAACTCTATTCGAGCTCCAGCTTCAATTCAATCCTCACTCTTCCAAACAGACCTCTCGACCCCCCTCCTCCATTCCCCTCCATCCTCCTCCTCCTCGAACGAAGACACCTTCGCACGCGACCGAGTTGCGCCCAAAGGTCCAGCGTCACCGCGGCCGAATGACTTCCCACCTGGCTCGACATGTCCCCCGTTACACCCCCGGTAAGTCGTGGGGGAACTGTTCAAGCTGTCGTTCAGAGATAAACACCACTCGGCTCGACGTCATTGCTGGATCTGGGATATGTATCTTGGGGCGGACGAATCCTGGGACAAGATACGGGCGAACTCCCGGGGTCGGTTATCGGCGAGGCGACCTTAGCCCACCATCTTCGAGAGGAGGGGGTGACATGCTTGCCGGTCTATGTTCGTCGCGGAAGATGGCTTGAGACATTCAGCCTCAATCCTGCCTTTATGACAAGCGCGTTTTGCTCCAAGCCATCGACGGCGACACCGCTCTGTCATTGGCCAGATGAACCAGCCATGGGGACCTAGTGCCATCATGTTGCGTGCTATTGCGAGTCTGGTTCCTCGTGGTGTTTAGCGTCGATCCCCCGACCTCTCGCCAATCTTCAGGGTTTTGCGCCTCGCAGGATTCCCAGCCTCCAATGACACCACGCCTAGTACGGGTCCCGGTCTGAGCAGGACCAACTGCATCGTTGCCATGGCATTTCCCTCTCCACTTCTATACCTGTTCTCTTCTCTTGTTGGTTGACGTGATCTACCCATGTCCCTGACTCTCACTGGTAAGGTCGTGGAAGCGTCAACAAGAGCTTTTCCCAGCGCGCCGATTTCTCGTCTATCGTCGTCTGCGTTTCTTCAATCTTCACCAGCCTCGCTTGTTATGCCGCTCGTCGTGAGGATGGAAGGATCATTATATATGGGTGCTGTTCTTCGCTTTCACCATGGCATTCTTCAGTCCATTCTTTCCACATCTCGTTCGTCTCCGAGTCCCCACAATATCGACATTGCAATATGCGCGTCTCAGTCACCACTTTGGCCGTCCTGGCATCAGCTGCTTCCGCGGCTTATCTCCTAGAAGATGACTATTCTTCCTCTTCCTTTGCAGATATGTTTGACTTCTTTACGGTACGATGCTCCCAACCGCGTGAGGAATTGGCGATGACTAACTTTTGGCAAAGGGCAACGATCCGACAAACGGCTATGTTAACTACATCTCCTACGACCAAGCTACGAGTTCTGGCCTATACCAAGCCGACAACGGGACCGTCTATATGGGCGTCGATTCCACAAACGTTGCCTCCGGTCGTGGTCGAGACAGTATTCGGCTAAGCACCAAGAAAACATACAATCACGGCCTCGTTATCCTCGATCTTGAACACATGCCAGCAGGCGCATGCGGGACATGGCCGGCCTTTTGGATGCTGGGGCCGGATTGGCCAAACAACGGAGAGATTGACATCATTGAAGGAGTCAACAGTCAAAATGCCAACAACATGGCTATGCACACGAACGCGGGATGTTCGATTACTAGCACAGGAGCTTTCTCCGGCACGCTCGAGACGGATGACTGTGACACCAATGCTCCCGACCAGGCTACCAATGCCGGTTGTGCCATTCGCAGTCAAGACACTAGCAGCTTCGGCAACGGTTTCAACTCCAACGGTGGTGGTGTCTACGCGACCGAATGGACGAGCGACGCTATCAGCATCTGGTTCTTCCCCAGGAACAGCATCCCCTCTGATATCTCAAGCGGCAGTCCCGACCCATCAAATTGGGGTCTTCCCCAAGGCCAATTCGCTGGCGCTTGCGATATCGACGAGCACGTCAAGGACCAGCAATTGGTCTTTGACGTCACCTTCTGCGGCGACTGGGCGGGCCAGGTATGGTCCACTGATGCCACTTGCTCGACCCAGGCATCGACTTGCCAGGATTTTGTGCAAAATAACCCTTCAGCTTTCCAGGATACGTACTGGCTCATTAACAGTTTGCGGGTGTATACCGAAAACGGTGCCGTTGCACCACCTCCGACCTCCACCGCGACCACTCTGTCTACAGCTGTGCAAACAGCCACTCCAACCGAATCAGTGACAGCCATAACCCCCTCAGCCACGACGTTCTTCACACTCACTTCCTCCAGCGAGACAACGACTTCAACGGAAAGCACGTCAGTGACCAGCCTGTCGAGTACCCCGGTCGCAACTACTCCAAGCTCTACTCTGTCTACGGAGAGCTCTGTCCCAAAGACTTTGATCACTAGCACTCAAGCGACCACAGCTCCAGCTGCATCCTACACCTCATGGCCTTCATCTGGATCCTGGAGCGGCGCGCCTTGGAGCACCGCCACCAACGGCAATGGTGGATGGGCCGGCTGGAATTGGGGAGAGAACGGTGGCAACTCAAACGACTGGGGCAATGGAAATAACGGCAACGGCGGTGAACGGGGAGGCCGTGTCGGGAATGGCTGGAGATGATTTTTCACCGAGCGACCGCCCGGCCGAACATCAAAAACGAGACGACCGACTCACTACATGCAACATTATTCAAACTCCAGCAAAAGGGAAGGATACACAGTACTTCCATATGTGCATACGACGCGACGACAACAGCATACAACGAGAACAAATGAACAAATGAATCTATACAGGTAATACGGAAATGGAAATGGAAATGGAAATGGAAATGGAAATGGAAATGGAAAAAAAGGACGAATGGCAAGCAAGCCAGCAGCATAATGATCGGGAAATGATAATAAAAACGGACCAACGGAACGACACAAAAGAACGGCATTGAGATACCCATGGGAAAAACACAGATGGAGCACGCATTATAATTAGGGAGATATTCTTCTGGCCATTTATGGAGGAGTTTCGGGCATTGCACATTGGACATATACGGGTACAATGCGCCTACCTACCTTGATAGCAGGCAGGGTAAAATTGACGGGTTTGGATTTTTATGGGTTGGGTTGGATGGATGCTTGAGCGCTTTGAAGTCTGTCTGCAGACTTGGTAGTATTTACATTACTCCGTACATAGGTACTGCGGATTGGGACATGTCGATATCTCCCGAAGTGACTTTTTGTCATAGATTCCCATACAGTGGTACAGTAAGACCCCATCAACAACACCATCAACATCAAGACCAAGATCAATCCAGTTCAATGTAAACGCCAATATCATGGCCTACCGGCTCCGTCGCTCCAGCCGCGGGGCAAAATAGAGTGGACTTTTGTTGAGCGTATCCTCCCCTCCCTCCCTCCTCGTGTCACAAACATATTGCCCAAATCCCAGGCGCACGCTGACTATGTACCCTTTCATTTCCCGAGCTAACCAAGGGTCCCAAGAATCTTTTCGCGTCCATCAGAATCAGGGGATGACAGGCGCATCCACCCCAAACCAATTCCACCCCTGATCCAGATCCACACCGCTCTGTCCGAACGGGAAACTACCGAATGGGAACCCGGGAGCCACGATGGAGCCCAATCCACCCGCAGCCACCGAGGCATTGAGGTCGTTTTGCGGCGTCGTCCCAGAGTTGTTGTACGGACTACTCTGGCCCGGTAGAGAATGTGATGGTTGCGGGGTGAAACCCGATCCGGACGAAGATATGCTTACGCCTCCCGCCGAGGGAAAATCGGTGGGTGGTTGGGGTGGGAAGGCCATGAAGGAATCAAATGTAATGAACGGGTCGTCGCCTGTGTCGGGCCAGGCTTGATCGAGTCCTGGCGCGATGTAGTTTGTCGACTCGTAAACGGGCGGTCGACGGGCTTGAGAGTATTGCACTGCCTGTCGGTCGATTGTTGTCGTCAGGGGTGACGGCTGCGTGCTATTTGAAGCTACTGACGGTGGAGTTGGCAACCCTGTGTTAGCGGATACACCGCCCGCTGGGACTGTCGTGTTTGCGGGCGTCTCCTGCGTGCGCTGCACATATGTGCCTGGTTTGATGGGGACGAAATGCTTGCCTGTTCCAATGGAGATAGTGCCAAAATAAGGGATTGAGACTTGACAGGTTTCGCCTCTGCATTCTTTGGCACCATCGTCATCGCAGCCCTGGCGGACACGGGCGAGCATTTCTAGTGCTTGAGCGCTTTGTGCTGCGACAACACCTCCGGGTTCTTTGGCTGCGTCTTTCAGCAGAGTGATTGTTTCGTCGATGAGGTCGGAGTCCTGCTGGTCTTGCTCCAGGTCCGTCTGTTGGGCGTTGTTGCCGCGGTGTTGTTGTGAGTATCCACACAAGTTCAACAACAATAACATGGCCCCAGTAAAAGACTGGAAATCAATCAATTTGCAGATGAAGGGACCCACGGCCTTGTTAGTTCGTAGGGCCTTATAGACTCGAATCATTTCTCGTGCACCGTCCAAAGCGGCGGCGTGAGAGTATTGATATCTCTTGTCGGTAGACGATCGGAGCATGAACGGCATATGCAGCATGACTTTTGCTTGGTGATGGAAAAACTGCGCCTGTAACCGATCGAAATGATCTTCAACCGCACTACCAGGAATAAGGTCCGTTGCCCACCAACTAGGATCCTGAGTGCTATGCAGTTCCTCCAGTTCTTGATCAAGCCTTAAAGTCGCGGAGTAACCCATGGGGACTACACTCTGGTTTCGATCGATCATCTTGGTAATTATAGGGAGCATTTTCCCTACATAATGTTCACCATCGTTGACCAGCGCCGGTCGAGGTCCAGATACGGGGATGTAGGGAGTGACAAAGCTTTCACTGACAGAATATGGCAGACCTAGCAGCAGAGATAGATATCTGTCACCCAACACAAGATGACACCAGATATTGACCGAACGCTGATAATCCAGGGACGTCTTGTCCGTCTGGGCTGCTAACCTGTGAATGCCCAATAACTGGGCGAAGGCGAGGGCGCGGTGAAATAGTAGCCACGCGCGTCGAGGCCGCCCCATATTGACATGATACTTGGCTTCGAGCATCATGCACTCAATGCCATCAAGGGTGGCTGCAATCTCATCATCTGAAGTGATCAGCTTGTCGACTGTAGCAATATATCGTTCCATCAGATCAGCGGGCTCCTCTTTGATTTGAAGTCGCGACCAATTGAAATGGCCCGGTAGTTGGTGAATACTGATTGCGATACAAAGCATGATCTTGGCCAATTCGGCCGGTTTCTCTGATCGCAAAGAATGCGAAACAGATTCTCTGATGGTTTCACATCGACTATCGGTAATTTCGGGGAACATCTTTCTCCATATCGTCCACCATTCGTGGGATTGTTCTAGAATAATTTCCAGGTCACTCGCGGACGGAAGCAATTTATTCAAGGCTGCCAGAAGTGTTTTGGTTTTGTTGTACTGGGCTCGTGACACCACGGGTTGGCTCTCTTTTCTCTCAATGACGGCATTGTCAAACAGTGTCAAGGCTGGGGCGTCATCTCGCAGGCCGCCCGGGAGAACGATGGACTCTTCGGTGCTAGCATTTTCCTGTCGCAAAGAGCTCTTGAGACTTTTCAAGACTTCAGCCGCCTGCGCATCGAGCTGGCTTTTATCGGACTCCGGAGCGGAACTGTCACCGTGGGCACTGGTATCCTTCTCCGGTAAACGGTTCAGCACCTGTTTAACAAGGTCTTCGAGCTGGGACACCCTTTCCCTCAAACTGTACGATGACTGCTCCGAAGTGGACTGCGTGTATGTGTGGATGTCCCCGTGCTCTTGATCGATACAGGTCGAGCCTCTAGCGTAGCACTCGTTGCATACGGCAGGCCTCCCAGGTTCGAAGTTGCATTTGATCTTTCTCCTCCGACACTCCAAACAACTCTTCGTTCCCTTCCGCATCTTCTTCCTTGGTGGGCCTTGATTATGGTCGAACCCAAGGCCGGCCGCATCAGTATTGTATGGTGAAGTGGACATGCTTCCAGTTCGAGACATTGCGGTCAATACAACGGAGGTCCGCTCCGGAGAGACGAAGAGGAGGAGGGTGGTTTGACCGGCGTGGATACGCAGCAGGGAAGATGGGTGGGAATCCGAGACTGCGCAGTTGATCCTAAGAGGGCCTGACTCAGGTTGGTCTCTAAAAGCCTCGCAGTTCTAGAGTTTGACTGCTGGCGAGCCTGGATTATGATGTAGGTGGATGATCTGGGAGGACACTTGAGCAATGAGCCATGCTTCTAGAATGTCATTGTAGGGCAAAGATGGTTGAGAGCAGATGAATAGTAAGCATTTGGACTGCGCTGCCTACTACGCACAATAGCCGGTCCAGGTCAAGGGACATTATCAACACATTTTGTCTGACGACAGGGGATTCCGCCAAGTTGATGGGAGAAGCAAGAGAAGTCAGCGACTCGCTTTTTGTCTGACAGACAATTGGTCTTTTCATACCATAACAGGTTTAGCCTCATCAGGTGACGAGATTTCTCTTCTCGTCTCATATTTTCATCTTGTGGCCACTTGCAACATTCACGTTCTTTGCCCTTGTGGCTTACCAATCCTGCCATACTGATGAGTCCAATGCTTTTTGTTTCTTTGGTGTCGAAGTTGAGGGGTCCAGCCAAGGTTTCGTCCGACCGACGTTTCGGCCGGATTACGAGCGTGGGCGTTTACAGGCCGGCATTACTAAGGAATCCATCTCCACTCGCCAATCGATGGACAAAGGCAACGGTTCCACCTTAATCTCCCTTTACACGAATCTTGGAACGCAAAAAATCAAAATGCCAGATGCCAGAGTGGTAATAATGCACTCGGGTTCGTATCTCCGATGTGCGGCTAGGTCCAGGTAAGGCAACTATGGTTCGCTACACGACATAACGACATCATCTCTTCTCGGATCTTCGAGGCTCGAACGTTCCGGCATATTCGACGCGCTGAGAGAGAAGGCACACGCTATTCCAGCCTCGTATAGCGTGTGTCACATCCAGTGCCGATGCGACCATGTGGGCGGCTCAAAGTTTTCGACTTTCCTCTTTGGAGCCCATTCTAGAACGGTGAATGTGACTTTCCCCTTCGATTTTGACGGCCTGGCTGTTGCCTGATCTTCGGGAACTTTATCAGGAAATGTCACCGCTTCGGATGGCGGATCAGAGCCTTACCGAGCTGAGTCTTGACCTCTCAGGGGCTGTTATTTCACCACAGCCTTGTCTATCGGTGGAAAGTTGACGCCAACATGTGCCCGACGACGTATCTCCATCAAATTTTAATCGTTTGATACGATGCAACTGGGTGCTATGATTCACTCCCTCCTTTTAGCGAGTCCACATTTTTTCTCTCTTGTTTCCTTGTGTTGTGTGCTTTGTTCATCCAAATGGTTGAAACACGGACGAATTCGCTTTCCTCTCTCGAGTCGTTGTTTGTGTGAATGCTCGGGCTGGCATGACCCTTATGCCTATACGACGTTGATGCTGGTTGTTCGCAGTCGATAGGCTGTTGAGTTGGATACATATATCACCGTAGCCCTCGACCCTTCCACTGTCTCAATGCAATCCTCTTCAACAAACTCTCGACTTCCCCCC